CTGCACATATCAAACAGTGTTCAACATACTTTTTAACATACCTGGTCATATGGGGAAACCAAAAGTAAAGTCTGATTGAGGCAAGAGTTTTTTCCCAACCTATGTGACTTTGATCATCGTGAAATATTTTCAAAAGACTATAACGGTTATTAGATGGTACAAAAAGTAAAGACTGAGACGATTTGTTATTTTTATTGGTTGTAATACGAAATAAGGTCTCTTTTTCTAATTTATATTTTCGTTTGACATCATCTTTAGCATCGTTCAAAGATTGAATGATTTGTTTACATTCCTCATCTTGACTTTGTGATACGGTAAGCCAATTTTTATGAAAATTGGGTTGTGAATCGATATGAGCTACAGTTTCAATTGGGTTCCTGCTAAGGAAGTCAACATGAGATATTTCAGAGCCTTTACGATAAACAATTTCGAAGTCGAAATCCTGCATATAAGCCCACCAGCGGGCGGTCCGCGGCTTAAGTTCTTTTTTGCTTGCAGATAATTTTAAGGAATTGCAATCAGTTACTAAAGTGAATCTTAATCCAAGCAAATATACACGAAAATTTTTTAAAGCTTTCACAACGGCCAGAGTCTCTAGTTCAAACGAATGATACATAGCTTCATCTGGATTGGTTTTTTGACTGAAATATTCAACTGGACGAAAGGTATCACTGTGTTTCTGCAATAAAATAGCACCGAAACCAATACTGCTCGCATCAGTATGCAATTGAGTCTCTAAATTTGAATCGAAAATTGACAATAGCGGTTTTTGAGTAAGGACATCAATAACATACTGCCTCGCTTTTTCACATTCAGTCGTCCAAACAAAGGGAACATCATTACGAGTCAAGTGAGTTATACAAGCTACTTTGGAAGAAAAAGCGGGAATAAATTTACGGAAGTAGCTCGCCAAACCGATGAATTGGCGCACTTGTTTCACGTTAGTGGGTGACAGACTTTCCTTGACTGCTTTAACTTTATTCGGATCAGGTCGGATACCATCAGCCGATATTTGACGACCTAAATAGGTGATGTTTTGCATAAAAAATCGACATTTACGAAGGTTAATTGAAAATCCGGCTTTAGACAAAGCATCAAGAACTAATTTTAGTTTACAAAATCCATCCTCAAGTGTGATGGAGGGTATTACTATGTCATCCATGTAAACAACCGCGGTGTCATATTTTAGGTTACCTAAAGCCATATTAATTGCTCTCTGAAAGACCGCAGGACCATTGGCCAGTCCAAAAGGCATTTTTAAATACTCATACTGACCATCCGGTGTCACGAAAGCGGTTTTTGGAATCGACTCGGGATTAATCGGGATTTGGTGAAAGCCCGAAGCCATATCAAGTGACGTGAAAAATTTATTTTTGCCTAAACGATCGAGCTGATCGTCAATACGTGGCAATGGATACCGATCTCTTAAAGTTATTTTATTCAAATGACGATAATCGACACACAATCGAAATGTCCCATCTTTTTTCTTAACGAGTATAATCGGGCTCCCAAATGGAGAATTGCTCTCCCGGACGATTTCGTTTTTAATTAGATCAGCAACGATGCCACGTACTTTCTGACGCTCAAACTCCGACATACGGTAGGGATGGTGATAAACAGTTTTGTTTTCTGTCAATGTGATGGTTAATTCCCCGGTATTGACAGGTTTAATGGTAAAATCAGTAGCAGTTGACAAATTCTGATAATTCCCCAGCAGTTTGATTAGTTCAGCCATTTCTGCATGCTCCAGATCACTTGTTATTTCCGAGTTATGAATGGTTCGAGTAGAATTTGTAAGCGCAAGCATGGGCATAATTTTTTGAACGTTTTTATTTTTTATTAAAACTACATTATTTTCGTAAACATTTTCACCAACGATAACGTCATATTTGGAATGACTATGCGGCACAATAACAAGATCAAGCGTTATTTTTATTTCGGGAAACTCTACCAATGCTTTGGTAAAAGAAAAAGAATTATGTATGGTACCGTCGAACCATCGTAAAGGAGTAACACGCGGAATTTTCTTTAGATTTAATTTGTCTACCAACGTTTCTTTTATTAGCGAACACGTGGAGCCGGTATCAATTAAACAATTTGTAGTGTAACCCGAAATAACGATAGGCACAGTTTTTAACTTGTTTTCATTAAAATTATGTGAATTGAGCAAAACGTGATGAGATTTAAATTTCTTTACGGTTGGGTCCTGTCCGGACTCTGAAACTTCACTTCCTCGACTTTGTTTATTTTGCCGACGAAAACAATTTTCAATGCCGTGACCAGGTCTTTTACAATATCGGCAAACATCAAACCCTTTATTATCCGAGTTATTGGTATTCTTAGTTTTAGATTTACAATCGCGAGAAAAGTGTCCCGATTGACCGCAAGAATAACAATTTGCCTGCGTCGTTTTTTTGTGTGAAAATACATTATTTTTCTTATTCAATTCGGATGCCGATTTTTCGACTAGAGGAATTTTTATGTAATTAGAGAGAAATGCAATTAAATCACTAACAGAGGCGGCACTACAATTATAGGCCGCAGTTCTGACCGCAAGATCGTCTATTGAATGAGCAATTATTTCGATCAAATCCGAATCAGACCAACTTGCCCGCGTGCGCTTTAATTTTTCTAATTTAATTCTCGCGTATTCAACATAACTGCGCGCATCGGAACTACGATAATTTACAGCATCGCTTAACAGTTTACCCAAATTCTTTTGTTTGGGAAAAGATACAGAAAAGTCAAATTTAAAATTTTCCCACGTTTCTTCCGTGGGTTGCCATGCCGAAAACCATCTTAGTGCAGATTTTTGCAAAAATGGACCAATTCTACTCACGGTTTCCCGATCTGACCAAGCAAATTCGTTCTTATACCCTTCAATTTTTTGTAACCAAATACCACTATCCATATTGTCGGGGTCAAAACTCGGCAAGGCCAACGAAATGGGAGTGGTTTGGGTGGCTGGCGATGTGGTTGATGTCGGCGACGGCTCCTTTGTACCGACACGCTGTTGCAAATTCTCAAGGATCGACGCTATGGCGCCCAAAGATCGATTCAGTTCTTCTTCGGCCATTATAGCACACTCCAAATTACGTTAAACGATTACACGTGTACCCCACACCTGATGTTAGATTTAAATAAATCGAGATTGTTTTAAAGACGACTTTTCCGATCTTGGCGTCAATGTCGAGCGGTGCATGCCAGAGCAGGGCATCAAACTGATGCCCGTCGCCACCCTCTGCGGCGTCCCGGCTCACGCGCGCGAATAGACCCGAAGATTTCCCGACGCATCCGAAATCGATAGATCGCGCCAATATTTAAATATTCGAACGTAATCTAACAGTGTTACCTGTGCTTATGGGATAGCAGAGCATTATAATTCAGCTATAAGAACAGGACTATGTGTTTGAAAACAAAATGTAAAATTTGAATCTATTGTTAAAGCGGAAAAAGTGTTTATGCCGCCCCCGCACATTAAATTAAGGTTGATGAAACAATTTGTTAAGAAATTGGATGAAATGAAACTTCAGAAGCTTTCGAGTACTTGAAAAAGTTTTTTCGGAAGTTATCAGAAGCAGAGCTTAAAGCTGGATGGTCAAATTTGGAACAGTTTTAAGGCAGTACTTTTTGGATTTTTTGGCAAATAACGAAGGTGAAAACTACGAAAAGTAAGTTGAGAATATTTTACAAAATTTTAAGGCTATAAGCTGCAGGATGTCATTAAACGTACGTATGTTGCATGCCCATCTAGATACATTTAAAAACAGCGTCGGGGCGTCTTCAGAAGAGCAAGGAGAACGTTTTCAACAACGGCTAATAAAATGAAAACATGGTAGGAGATTCTATTTGGGGTTTATAGAGAGAAATTAATTTTGAAAATAAGTCTTAACAAAGATATCGTTCAATCGGTCTGCTAAATACAAAAGCAATTTTTTTCGACTAATTGCGCCCTAAAATATCGAAGTTTTATGCTTTAAAATCAAAGTCAAATTTTGTGTTGACTCGTTTTACTAACCAAAATTAACCAAAATAAGGAAAATTTTGTTAATAATAATAACAATTCATTTATTTGCATCTTCAAAGGTAAAGAAACACAGACAAAAACAATGTTTATAACATAAATGCAAAAAGGAGCAGGGAGGCAATTAAATTGTTCAAGTCCCGGTCCCTAAATCTTACCCAACTTACAATTTGGAAATGCGTTTCTATTTTATTCAAAATTTGTTCGATGCTGTCATTTGAAATGGCATCTATAATGTCAGAGCTCAGCGAGCTCCTCATAATAAATTCCCATACCTCTTCTCATAAACCTTCTGTCACCAAGCGCCTGTCGATCTTTTCGTCTTAGTGTGGAACCTGGTATTTGCACAGACAAATTACTTATTCTGTGACTCAGTACAGTCTCTGCCATATAAAATTCATCAAACTGTGCTGTTAATAAGATTTGTTTGATATCTACAAGATGGGCTACTAGAGAGCTGACATTTCCAAAAAGCAACTGATAATTTTTTCATTTTTGTGCAGCAGAATGAAACCTAAAATATTAAAAAAAAACACATATATAACCGACTCAACCTCAAAATGTAACTGTGATACAAGTTAGGAATAGTTTGAGTATCGACAAAAAATAAAATAAAACGCTACTCAAATAATAACAAATAATAGTAACAAGACTACAAAGGCTAGCCATGTAGGCCAACAAAGTAAAATGTAAAGAAAAAAAAAGCAAAAAATGTGTTGGGCGCATTTTAAGCAAATTGCCATTGACACCCATTCGGTGCACTTGAAATCATTATTAATATCAAACTGTCGGACATATCGCGGCAAATTTTAATTTTTAATGCAGCACGGAATCACCCTTGGCCTACCTGTTGGTGCCTTTAATGGTCCTAATTAGCGGAGGCAGTCAAAAAATCGTCATTGGCGGAGCAGTACTTTTGATCGATCGTTCTTGAGTGATTCAATTATTTTGACGCAGATATTATCTGCCTCCCGCACTGCTACATGTAAAGCTATCTGAAGAGGGGCTCTCGTTATAATAAGGAAACGAAAGCCGCGTGGTTACAGTAGTGGTTCAGTACTATTTGGGTCGGTAATCGTACTAAGAGTATTGAAAATGATCAAAGCCGTAAGTAGTTCCAATTTATTACAATGCTTTTTACAAAACTTCTGGATTCCTCCTGCGTCGTTGCTTAGTCGAAATTGCTGACGTTTCGCCAATCATCCTGTTGGCTTCTTCAGAGCTTGACTGAAACTGTTTCAGTAAAAAGTTTTGTAAAAAGCATACAGCAGCCTGTGGAAGTTTCTTGGAAAATTTTTTTTACAATGTTTGCAATTTTTGACAGTATTAGATTTGCCATTTGCTTTTAGAAAATATAGTTTAACTAGTACGGAAAAATTGATGCTATCTCTATTGCTTATTGTTTTCAAAGGCATCTGCAAAAGTTCTCTCAAATTATTACAATCAGCAGATCAATCATCAGGTATAATACGTGTGTACCACATAGCAGGTCCTTTTGCTTAATCCACCAAATACATTATACTCTAATGACTATATTAATAGTGTCTTAAATCATATATCGATAACAGAAGGAATACAAAATCGTTATACTCTAAAATAAGCACAATGGTGTAACTGAGTCAGATTCCCATATATCAAAACTTTTTTCTATCCACTTTAGTAGCGTATTTGAGGCGAATGACACTCAGTCCTATATTTCATCTAATTACTCAGATAGGAGCGTCGACAACTATAATTTCTCGGAGGAATTTGTCCGTAAGACACTGCTTCCTTTAGATACAAAAAAATTTAGCACTGCCGACCAATACAATTTTTCATAAAAGTTTAGTTTGGATGGTTGCACAAATTGTGCCAATCCTGAAGCCTGCCGAATGCACGGGAGTAGTTTGTTATAGGCCTATCTCGCTCCTATGCCATTTTGCCATTGCCAAGTCTTTGAAGCCATTATCTATTTATTTTATGAATCAATATGGATTTCACAAGAAACATTCGTTACTTGCAAAACTAATTTCTCTTATCTATAATATTGACCATTCTATGCAGAATACCTTTAAGATCCGGGGTGCATCGCTCCTCTCTGGTAAAGAAGCACTTACTCCGTTTGTTACAAAGTTGCCCAATCGATAGAACTCAGTTTGCGGTTGTGAACGGCACCCTTATTTTTCAATATTTTTCGGATATTTAAGAACTCTAGGATGATCTCGATAGGGTTACTATATACTGTAAAAATCACAGGCATTTTTAAACTCTCGATAAATAAAAAAGAACTCATTAATACTGACTTAAAATTAGACACCATAAAACTGAAGAGAGTTACTCAAGTAAAGGATTTCGGCACATGCAGAAAATATTGAGAAATCTTGGTTTTGTTTCACGTAACACCCATATCAATCATTGTAATGTATAGTAGCGTCTCCGAATTCATCATGAAATACTCATCCACTGTATGGAACCCGATCTATCGAAATTACAGTAAAGTACAGTACAGCAGACACTACTTTTCGTATGAAAATAACCTACAATTTTATAAATTAACGTCGCTTGAATCAGGTAGAAATTGCTAAGGCGTAACTTTTGTTTATCAAATTGTCAACGTCATTGATTCTTGTACAAGTGACTTATCTTGGTGATATAAATAAAATGAAGTACCTACTTCTACTTAAAATTTTGGTATGAATAATGTAATGAACAACATTTCTCGAAGTACCTACTTGCAATTTATGCCTGTTGCGAGATGTTTATTGAGATGTATTATGTAATACGAAAGGCTTTAGCAAGCACAAATCAGTCATTTTAATTTATAATAGCATCATCGGATATATCTCGAAATATTAATCCACTGTATGGAATCTATCAGTATGTTGCCTTTTTGAAACCTTAATTTTAGATATAATAGATACTACGTTTTGTATAAAAATAACGTAGAGTTTTATAAATTGAAGCTCAAACGTAATTTTTCTTTATAAAATTGTCAAAAAACTTATTGAACCTTCTTGTACAAGTCACTTATCGTCGAGTACGCACGAGGCAAACTTTTTCTATAAAAAGAATCAGATCTAATTAAATCTTAACTATCCGCTTATTAGATGTTATTACTCGTATGTACAATAACTGCGTTTTCTCAACAACGGAGATACGGACTTATTCAACTTAAGCCTAAATTTGTTATTAAGACATGTATATGAAATTGGGTAATATTCTTTTAATTACTGCCTATGGAAATATCTAGTTAAGTTGGTTGATGTTTGGATTTATAAATAAATCACCTTGTTGTTGCGCTGCTGCTTTCCAATGATATGGTCGTATCTACTCTTTTCTAAATTATTAACAAGAAATCTAGGTCTCACATTAGCTAAAAGTTTAAATTTTTAGAACATCAAATTATCAGCAACAGTGAACATAATGCTCTGTGAATCTCTGCGGCTGGCACACTTTAATTTATGTGACAACGTATCCTAGTTAAACAACTGAGTTCAGCCATAAAAAAGAACTTCACTTATCACACCTACTATACACATTTAAAAGCCATTTTAAAAAATAATGTTTTGTTTTTCTTTAAATATGAAATTTAGTACACTACTTTTTTCAAAATGGATTTCTCATTAGTGTTTGAGACATTTATTTATTGTTTTCCTAGGTTTATCTCAGGCTCATCTTAAGTGACTCATATAAAACGTCAGTATTACTCAAGAACTGTTCTTTTTTAAGATTTACTTTGAATTGCCAATCATTTTCAGGCTCTCCTAAGTGTTTCATTGAATATCTAAAACAACGTCAGATTTTTTTGGGATTGCGAAATAAATAAAACGAAGTTTTGAGTTTTTCATTATTGGGGAATGTTTAATATCTTTCCGACGATTTCAAAGTGGATGAGCAATACATCATTGTCTAGCTCTCAATGTCTTTACTGAATATCTGAAACAATATCTTTTTTTTTTTGGGACACGTCAGATCTTTTTGAGATTGCGAAATTAACATAACATAATTTTTTGATTGATTTATATCTCCCGACTGTTTCAAGGTGGTTGACCAAAATATCATTTTGAAGCTTTCCTAAGTGGCTCTTCAACGGACTTATTGAATATCATCGACAACGTCAGATTTTTTTGAGATTTTAAAATAAAAATAAAGAATTTTGGATTTAATTTTATATCTTCCTGACGATTTTAAAGTAGATGAACAATCCATAATTTTGAAGTTCTCTTAAGTGGCCATTCAATGGCTTGATTGGACATCTAAAACTTCAGATTTTTTGATATTGGGAAATAAATAAAACGAACTTTTGGATTTTTCTTTATTGGAGATAATTTTATATCTTCCCGACGATTTCAAGGATGAGCAGTACATCATTTTCAATCGCAATAAAATTTACAAAACACACAAGAACGTTTTTTATAGGTCATATCAAAGATACTGAAAATTACCACCCCTTTGAATAATCGGAATCTGTTTTTAATTTAACAAAGAACCTTTTGCTTTTACTGAGATTACTCTATGTTTTGGGTTTACCTAGAGTAATTCTATAAATCTATTTATACATAAGAAAACAGTAAATTCTCACTTGTAAAATCTAAATTTCTAAAATCTCCTTTTTTCACATAATTTTGTTATTTTAATAAATTCTATCGTTAAAAATTGTAAATGCTACTTTTAAACGTCGCTACATTTGCACTTGAAAAGTTGGCCTACAGCATGTCAAAGATTGCCCATACCGGAAGTAAAGATAATTAATTTAAAAAAAATTACAGTGAAAACTCCTTATAGCGAAACTTTGCATATACCGAAAGAAAAAGGCACAACATGTAACAAAATAATGAATGTAGGCCGACTTCCATAAAATTCCTTACCGTAATAATCTAATTAAAGTTCTCCAAACGATATACCGTTTCTACTACATAATCCGGTCTTTAACTGGTGGTAAATATTTAAGGCCTAACCGCAGGTCTACCTCGCTTGGATTTCTGTTTGTAACCATCAGATTCGCGATTCCACAATGAAGCTCCAGAACCATACTTCGATACTTCGTTTATACAAATGCTGAAAGCTGGCGGATTTGTGTTGAGTTTGATCGACGAAAGTCCTCAGTAGTTCTAAGTAGATGTTACAATTTGTAAAATTTCGACTATATATTTGATTATTATTTATTTATGAGCAAGTCTTCTCTACCGACAGTGGCAGCTGTCCAATAAAAGGATAGCACAGAATGACAGAAAAAAAATACTTAGTTAGTGGAGCAGTTTAAGTTATTCCTTACAAGCTAAAACAAATTCAGAAATGATTACAGCTTTTTATTACATTTACTTGTGAAAGCACTATACACTATATGCTGCAGCGAATGCATTTCTATATAGAAATTATACCATTTTAAGTGATAAATATTAGCGAAACTTATTCCTATTTGAATTGGCGTTTTAGTTGATGTTTTTTACAGCTCTTTTTCGTGTGTCTGATCTTCGTAACAGCCGGCGCTGGCTTGGTCGAGCTCAAACACGATGAACATCATGGCCACGCCGAGTCTTATCAAAACAGCAACCTGGAAGCCTTCCATCCAATAAAAATCGAAATTCCGGTAGTCCATCACCACCAAGTGCACGCGGTGCAGCTAGACCATCACCATTGAAGATGCAACGCGGAGACGAGCATGCATCTTTAACCAAAATTTAAGTTATTTATTGTTTAAATTGTAATGTACACGTTGTTATGCAATAAAGTTATACATGGCTATTGCTATAAGACCATTGCTTGTTTATATAGGGTGTCTCAAAATGGAAAATATTACTTTTCATGAAAAAAACAATTGGCAAACAACAGCATGTATGTTAATTACTCCTATTAATGGTTTTGCAATATTATTAAGCATTCCCTATACCTAGACTTGTTTTTTTTTGTGAAAAAAACGTATTAAACTATGAATAATATTTTCAGATCGCGTCTTTTAGTGCAAATCTAAGTTTGCCATGCAAATGTAATGAATGTAAGCGAATTTACCATGACCTACTGCTACAAATAAAGTAAAAAATGAATAAAACTTTATACTGATATATATTTCCAAAAAGCTGAAATGAATTCCAATCCAAAAATATGTATGTTTGATTTATAACTAACAAACGATTAGAGCAAGTAAAAAACAAGCTTCATATTTAACAACTATTATAAATACCTCTATTCCGTGTCGGCAATTTTATTTGGCATTGAAAAAACAAATATGATTTCAGATACGAAGTGTTAAAGTTGTTTCTTCTCAATATTATTTGAAGTAGTGTTGACATTTGGATTCAAATTGGTATTTGAGGGTTTTAGTGGGGCTCTAGAGGACTCCATCAAGATTATCCAGTTGTTTCACACAAAACTTCACATTTTTAGACAGGTTTGTTTTAAACTCGATATAAAGAAGACATCAACACAGTACGTGGAATCTAGTTTCATTTTCTTATTTACTTTACTAGAAAGTCTAAACTCATAATAAATACCACACGAATAAAATAAAATGAATAGTTATAAAAATGTTTGAAATAAATAACAGTAATTGTTCAAATTAAGAAAATTATAAGAAAAAATCTTTTCTATATACTTTTTCACGTAAAATTAAGGCATAAATATGCAAAAAATTGCAAAGACGCACGAAATCAAATTCAAATTTTGCATGTAAAACAAACCTCAATAGCAATTACTCATTATAATTTTGTACTATTGATACCAGCCTTTATTCTAATTTATTCATTGCAAGACCGATTTATTTATTTTCATTCTTCGTATATTGATAGACCATAAAAGTGACAACTACTCGAGTATCAGCAAAAAAAAAACTTTTATATGCAGGCGTATTTTCACAATGTCGGTCAAGTAGAATTGTTGTTCGGTCGGATTATAAAACTAGATTCGCTCGGTACTAAACGTTGATTTTACTTTTAACTTAAATTACGATGCAAGAATGATAAATCTCATTTCTAGCAAGTTTCGTGTTTTGCAGGGTTGGACTGAGTAATTACAATTGGCTCAGATAGGTTAGACTCATGAGAAGATGAACTAAATATTAATATGGCCCTTTTGAGCTGTCTTCGAATTCTCTTCTTTCTGAGAGAGAGCCTTTCAAGCAATTATCTCAGACTTCAATATGTTCAGTTTAAGGATACTATGTCATCTGTCAATTCTCTGATCCATAACATATTTCTCTATTTCTCTACTACAGGGCAAATCCGAAACAAAGCATTGAGAAACGAATATTGGTGAGATTTAAAAAAATATTAGCTAGCTGAAAAATAAAACTATCCCTGGAGAAGATGGTAATGAAGTCTATATTCTAAAAGAGATTGACAAAGAAATAAGCCAACGGCTATCGTATATAATAAAATATGATAATTTCTATAGGTAAGTGTCTCCAACACTTACCTATAGCTATTGTTGGTCAAGGCAAGGCAGGTGATCTAATGTGGCGGTTAATTTTCGTCCCATCAGTATTCTATCAAATGTAAGTAAAATATTTCAGAAAATACCCTTCACATAAAAAGCTTATTTCTAACAACCAGTTCACTTTTACACAAAATAAAACTACAACTGAAAGAATATATCTCTCTGGATAGAGGACGTCCCTGCATTAAAAAAAAACATCTAATGTGATTGTCTAGTTGGTTAAAGGATAATTGTTCCTCACTCATTGAATAAGTTAAAAGCTGTGGCTAAAAGCAAATTCAATTAAAGCAATCCATTATTTTGGTTTCTCCTCCCTTCTCCCTGGGTTAGTTGTAAAATAAATAACACTTAAGGTAGCCGATGAGTTCCGCAACTCAATCTTAATTAAGTGTTATTATGGTATCTTATTTTTTTTATTATCCTAACTTCAAATGTAAATTTATTATTATTATTATTATTGTTATTTCTGCCTCAGGAGCCACTTACGTGTGGTGTTCGACAAGGTTCGATCCTTGGGCCTCTTCTATTTACTGTCTATATTCGTGCCCAACATCTTATTAGCAATTTACCACTACCACTCTTTAGATATGGGACTTCCAGTCAAGGTATCATTATTATTTATTACCTTCGCCTATGTTTTATCAGCGTCATCCGCGAAAAAATTTGCATACAATAATGGCGTATTTATTAGTTATACTACAGAGTTAATTTGTGTTCATAATATACAACAGATCACCCGGAATCGGAAGCAATATGTGTGGCATTGCCATGTCTTGTTTTATTATTTACACTGTCAAAAGCTTTTGACAGATCCAAACAGATGGAAAGAGACAATATCATTAAGTGACTGCACTCTACTTCATTTATTATAGTATCTTTTAAAGGATCTGGAAAAAGTGCCAGTCGTAAAGCGTTAAATAACAATAAACAAAAAAATCTCACACATACAATACTAAAAGGGTTGTTATACTTACTGGAGAAGTTTTCGAAAAAAAATTATGTTACCGTTATTACTTGTAATATTTTTTACCAACTTAGCTCTCACCTTATCTTCAATCCTTTCTAGGCACTGCAGGCATGCCGTGAGAAATATCCGATAAAATCCCGGAAATGTCCGAAGTGGCTCGAATTCGTGCGAAACCAAATTGGCATGGTAAGTTACGCTTCCCGCACGCTAGATCGGTGTGTAATTAGGTATTTTACAAATGGGAATAATAAAAAATAGTTTTCGGAGACCTAGATAAAACGCCACAGTTGCGTAGAAATAAAATTTTCAATATATTTATCCCGCTGGTGCGACACAATAACATAAATCGCGTTTCAAACATGTTTCTCAAAATATTTGTAAATAAAGTGGTATGTAAATAAAAGTTGAAATATCTTGGGACATCAGGGATCTCAATTTTAAGAAAAATAGGATATTAATTTGGCGATTTAATTTAAAAAACTACTGTAATAATTTGAAACAAATGATTCAGTTACATGGATGCTAGTGAAAAATATAACAGTCGCCGCCATGTACATCGACTCAACATGTCTACAGGAAGTGTTAACAGTAACAAAGAGCTTAAAAAATAAACATAACTGCATAACTTACCGAACTATAAGAGAGTTTCAAGTTATTCAAAATATGATCGATGTTAAGGTGTAACAGATACACTCCTGCAAACCCAATGTCAAATGTTGTTAATGTCATGATGGGAATTATTTATGACGCAAATATTTTGATGTATAAGTTAAGAAATAAACTATTACCTGATACATCTGTGATAAAGTAAAATATTTTAACAGCGTGCATAGTTGCTATACGAGAAACCGCAATGATTTTATTTTAGTAGATTGCTCTAACCAATTGACAAATTCTATTCTGTATAAGGGCCTCTCCGACAAACTTTGAAAAATTGTGATAATTTCAATAACTTTAAAACTATGTTCAGGGAATATATGATGTCTAGATTTTAAGTATAAATCACTGTTTCATCTTAATTTTGCCTATATGTTGATTTCTGGTTATAGTTGTGTTGTTTGTTGGTTTTGTTTGTTCATGCATTTTGTAAAACTTTGTAAATAATTGTTTTTGTATGTAGCATCCCATGCTAATAAAGAAATATTATTGTTATCTTTTAAAGAATGCTTTCATAAGAGGTGTATTAATCCAGATGAAAAAAACCGACTTGAGAGTGTTCCTCGGGGCTATATTCTGGACCGTCTGGTGTGTATTATGTACACAAATAAACTCTGCAGTATTCCTTGCGAATATCCTGTATTGTATGTAGATTTTTGGTGGGTGAGACGGTGATGAAATACAGAAAAATGTAATAAAAGCGTAATATATGTGACTAATATTTACATATATTGAAATTAATATAATAGAGTATTGGTCATTCCTTGAACTTAAAATAATTAAAGGGTCGATTGGAGGTGCCAAGCTTAGCAGAACACTGTTTCGCTGAGCTATTTTGATTTCGGCAGGATTTTGCTTGTACAAAAATAGTGTATAAGTAGTATCTTAGGAATGAGCATTTTCTGTGGCAAATTTCATTCTGGCAGTTGTTGGCGTGGATGTACTGGATTCTTTTATGTCGGTATCAATCAAGCCTTTCATCTGAGATATTAAACTTAAGGTTTATAACTTTTTTGAGAGTTTGTTAAGCAAGCTATTAAACATTTAGCTAAAACGGTCGCCTACCAATTACGTTTGTACGGTCCTGTATTGCCTCCTTATCTCGCGTCTAACCAAAAAAATCCAGAATTCTGGTATTGTAGCCTCCGCGTCGCATGGAAGTAAATGTGGGGCCCTTGTGCTACTTTGGCGATATTTTTGAACTATATTCGGTGGGGTGCGTTGTTGCATAAGTATAAAATCGTTGCATCTGACGCGGCGTTCGTAAGTGAAGAATCGGTTCTGTCGCGGTTCAGTGATCGGAATAAGTTTGCGAAACAACGAAAAAAATGCTCAACTTTGTAAGTAGATTCCATTGTGTTATTCGCAACATTCACCAAAACATTGGCGACGTTTTGAAATAACACTTTCCGTATGAAGTTTGATTTAAAAAAGGACTGAAAATCGATTTTATGATAACACTAATTTCTTTAGTCAGCAATACGTCTCAGTAAGAGAAATATCAATTTTGATCTAGAGTAAAATTTTTTTGTCGTCTCTATGGTTAAGCATGGAATTTTTTGATAAAAGTTTTTTTATTTCTTAGACGTTGCAAAAATTAGAAGCTGCCCAGTTCTACTAAAGAGGGTAGAAGTTGGCCTCGCTAATTAAATTCAATAAAATCTGTTTTTTTTTTTGAGGAGGCTCAAATTTGCATAGTCTTGATAATCACGTCACGGTGTACCAATCAAAATTTGGGAATATTGTAATACTGCTAAATGGAAAATATCTAAGATTTTTACAATCAATAAAAAATACCTTCTAACATATACCCCACAAGCAATAATTTGTAAAGTTATGAAAATCAATTAAAAATGTCAATTTGACAAATAACATCTGTAAATATATTTTGTTGTAATGTACTCTTAGTTACCTTTTAATTGATGCCCCACAAGTCATGGTCTTTAATGAAACTCTGACGTAAATACGGCTCTACAGAATGGAGATGAGGAATGAATTAGGAACATCAGTTGGAGAATTATTTGAGAAATAGGTGTAACGAATTTCGTTAACTTTGCCGAAAAAATAAGGTTTATTACGCATTTTTGATATATTGATATAACACTACGCAAAATGTTGAAACATTTTGAAATAATTATATTTAAGTAAATAAAAAAAATACAGAGTGGCCCAAAAATAACAATTTAACAAAAAAGATTAATATAGATTAAATTAATTAATTTACTTGGCATAAAATTAGTCTTCAAACTTACCTTTACTGGCTTCCTGCCTTTTGAATTTTGTTAAAAGCTAATTTCTTTACAAAAATCCCCTCCACTTTTCATACCGAAAATTGTACAAATAAAACATTCTCAAAATGACACTGACAACGAACGTTACGAAATTATTGTTGACATTTCCATGGTAGCAAGACGACTTAAATCGCTTGTTTTGTGAATGCTTATTTAATTAGTCTATGATAAGGAAAATGTTCATTGTGCGAAATGTATTATGAGTTCATTTCAATAGTTTGGACCACCGTGAGACACCACTAACAAAGTACAAGTTTCTCTGTTTCGTAAAAAATAAGTTCACAAAAAATGTTCCAGGTCCAATAACTGGCGCCGAGAATAAAGTAACAAGTAGATTAGTAAATTAGTTCAGTAACCGCCTTCAGTAAAGAATTAAAATTAAGTACAGGTATATAACATCAAAAATATGACCAACCCAACATTTAAGAAGTTTTCAGAAAATATTTTACTCGAACATTTATTTTAAAATGTGACAGAATTTAAGATATTTATGGTAAACTAGCAGCACTGAATGCGATGGTGAAAACAGAAAAACAATTGAATGTAGGGTTTAGGAAATAATGATGAAAATGTACTTTTCATAAACACCCTGTGTATTTTTTGTTCTAACGTTCGTAACTCAACACCAGAACAAAAAAGATCATATGCTATATTAACCTAAAATTGAAAATAATGAAATCATCAACACATTTCTCTTTTAGACCAGTGGTTGCGAAATAAAAGTAGGTTTTATTATAATATAAATAAGAAAATAAAAAAAAATAAAAATCCTAAATCTGATTGAAGAGGTGTTAAAAACAGCAAGTCATAGTTTGTTTCGTTTTGACCATAAACATCGTCTATTAAATTACCCCGCTAGTAGAAATCAAGTGGGGTTATTTCTGATGGTCTAGGAAGCCAAGGAATTGGTTCATTTGTAGCAATACATTTGTTATTGAAAATGGTTGCAAAAAATTGATATGTATCTCGGAAGTTATGAGCTAGTGCGCCATCTTATTAAAGATAGATATTCCGCCTACAAACTCATCGTAAAAACATGGACCAATAATGCGAGTAAGCGAGCATCAAACGTTAAAGCTGCAACGAAATTGCGGACCTCGCAATTAGTTTTGTCTTGACCAATAATGAAAATTTTTTGAATTATAAATTAGTGAATTTGAAAGATTTAATTCGTCAGTCCGAAAAACGTACTGAAAATTATTTATGTTTTGCTAATTCAACCGACTCTTAAAAAATCTGTACTCTTAAAAAACAATCAACGATGAAGCTGTTCCAGATTTTACTAGCCTCCTTGGTGTGCTACGCCGGCGCCGGCATCATCGACTACGACGGCGGCTACGGCGGCTACGGCGGTATAGCTCTAGCTCCCAAAGTAGCCATCGCAGCGCCGGCTATAGCGGTCAAAAGTGGAGCGATTTCGTATCAGAACAGCAATTTGCTGGCCCTCAACCCCACCCCGGTTGTCACGAAAGTAGCAGCTCCGATCGCTGTAGCCAAAGTTGCGGCGCCAATTACGTATACCAAAGTTGCCACGCCCATTTTAACCAAAGTGGCCACGCCCATCGCTGTAGCGGCACCGGCGGTTAGCGTAGTTAGATTCGGTAAGTCACATTTTCAGCGTTTCAGTTTCAGGTTTCGGCGGTTTGTGGAAGGCAGACGAAGCCTTCAAATATTACAAAGCAATGTATAAGGTTTTGTTATGGATTGAAACGGATTGAGATAGTATAGAGTATAGAGATTGTCTAAAAGTCCAAACTATACTGGTTACAAAGTAACACAAATGAGACTGAGTGATACTACCGTGTAATCGTATTGTATCCTTTTTTTACAAAACTTCAGGATTCCTCCTGCATGGGTTTTTGCTGAGTCGAAATTGTTGACGTTTCGCCAATCAGCAATTTCGACTCAGCAAAAACCGACGCAGGAGGAATCCAGAAGTTTTGTAACTGAAATTATTTAAAAATCCTTAACAATTAAACATACACCTATTTTGGTCGAAACATTTAAATATATTAATTAATGTTTCTAACCCGTTTGGGGCCACCTGTTTAAAATAAAACCCATTTTAAAAAGTTAGGAATTTACAAACCCCAAAAGTGGAAGTTTTTGAAAACCCTGGCTATTTTGTGAACCTGTTGTAAAATTTCTGTTTAACTAAATTAATGTTGCTTTCGCCAAAAAATTTGCTGGAAACAGAACTCAAGAATATCTCATCCGAACTACATATTTCATTTGTAAGTAACTATGAACAGTTTTTACAATTTTTTCAATAATTGCAGCGAAACATATATGCTGTGTCTGTGTCTAGAATTAGCAGTTTCTTAGCTTCTTTCTAGAATATAAAAAAAACCCAAATATAAAAAGAACTCATTTATATCTACTTTTAAAATACTAAATTACACATATTGTCGTTTGTCTGGTATTCACAAATTGTTCTTGTTTTTTTTCTCTCACTTCCTACTGTTGCAGAAAGACCGAAATCCTTTTTCGAAAATTTAGAGATTTTTTTGCATTTGATAATGAATTTTTTATGAATAGCCTTAGAGCAATTGACTGCCAGCTTTTATACCGTATTGATGATATAAACATACAAATTGACTTTTTTAAGCATAATATGATTTGTTTATTTAAAATTTGACATACAGACTCTGTCTGCCTAATATGCGAACAAACAACAAACTCAATAATTATTGTGTTTAACTAATTTCCCATATTTATTTGAGTTTGATACTAGTACGTGGATGTGTTTTCACTGAATATTTTTAATACAGCGTATTCGTGATATGCGAAACAGCTCTTTGCAAGTGAATAGGCTTCAATCCTGCTTGGTTAGACTAGTTTGTTACATCATTTCAGTTTTCGAACAACTTATTTACATGTAGGGTATATTATTATAACAAATTGTTTAGATTCATCATATAAATCCCTATACCAAATTTGGAGATAGTTGGCTGACGATTTTATTATTTTACATTTTTCTTTAAGATAGAAACTTGTTACTGACAGACATGGAAACTAGCAGACGTTATAAGAAAAAGTAGCTTGCAATCTTAATATTCTGATTAAATAAAATTTTAAAATTCAGTACCCAATTTTATATATCACATTGTAACAAAGGCTTCTAAACAAAGACGTTAAATAAAACCTTAAAAAACAAATTTAAAAAGCTCTTCGAGTATCTGTTTATAAAAAGTTCCTGTCTTTGTATATCTTAAAAGCAAATAAAAGACATTAAAACAGAGTCAAGATCATGATATTTGTCAATATATTGTTATTAAGAAAATTGTAAAATTTTAAAATAAAAAAAAATTGTTGCAAAACTTCTTATTTCGTTTCAAAATATTTTTTTTCCATTTATACACCACGTTTTTACAAAACAGACTAAATCATTCATGAAGTTTTGGTGCACCACGTCATTAATATCAAAATGTCGCTTCTTTTTAAACATCGATCCAAATACGGGCTCATTTGACCCACCCTGTCCAGTGTACAGGGTAAAATTCACAGTCAGAAACATTTAGGACGGATGGAAGTCAACCCTTAAACGCCCTCCAACTAAATTGTTTTTTGTTACTTGCATTATACCCCAAGATTTCAGATTATTTCGTAGTAGGTATATCTACTTCATTTATCATCAATCTTATAAATTTTAGTTTATAAAGTACAAAAAAGTATTAATTTTATACATATAGTGATAAAATTAATTATAAGTGAGTTAAATTTATGTAAAACAGCGATCGTAATACATATACATATAAACAATAATGATGTACGTAATATATTATTATTATTTCGCATCTTTGCAATATTTCAGCAGGGCCATTTTCATTTAAAAGAATTTTAAATCAGCAGAAATTTCGTACAACATAATTCAGACGACTTTCAGAATTATATTTATGCACTTTACGATTTCTAGATATAGGTTTTCAATGCACCACAAGGAGAAAACCTTAAGTATGAAAAGAAACCATTTTTTTTTAACTATTGGAATGAAGAAAATATTTGCCAAATTAGCGTAACTTTCAAAACGTACCATTTTTTGTCACTCTGTAGCCATCCAAAAGACTAATATGGTGTTTCCTAAAATGAAAAATGTGTTTACATTATTGCAATGTAAAATTAGTCAACCTAAATCGAATTTTTGAAAAATCGTCAATATCCGGCAATTTGCTAATGAAAAACCTTCAACCTTCAATAAAATTAATAAAACTTTACGATATAACGTTTCAAGTCATATATTGCTTTAAACGAACACAGGAAATTTCTTACTTCTTTTGGAGCTTTTGGTGGTATCGATCCTGATTTTAGACCGATCAGGCCATCTCAAAGGTTGTTGAAGAAATTGCTGCTAAACAACTTGATTATTATAATTATTAATTGTTTTTGGTTTGTGTCTTTTTCAGGAAAAGGCATTGGAATCGATGACGGCTTGGGTGCGTACGGTGGATATGGATTCGGATATGGGGGCATCGGAATAGATGGGCTGGGACACTAGGTTTCGTTTGCGCCTCCAGTAGATGAGCGATATTTATTGTAGCTAACGGAAATAAAATTTAGAAACAGTGACGAGAATTTTTGTTATCCGGGTAATTTTGCCAAAAGGCCCGAATTTTTCAATGGATAATTTTTAATCGGTGAAAGGTAAAGATTTCTATAGACTGCATGCATGCAGATTTCGGTATGGTTTTTCCAACACGAAAATGGTCAAAGCATTAACCGCACTGTTGGATACAGAGTGAAGAAAATCAAGGTATAGATAAAGATACTACTTTACGTAGTTACTTACTCAGTTCTGTTGATGGAATGCTGCGGCCTGTGACGTACGGAACTTGATATGTTTATTACTTCTGCATCATTGCGAAGCAAAGGAAATACTCTCTACACTTACTGATTACATGGCATTTTTAGTTGGAAAGGGAACTTTGAATTATTTGTGAGTAAATCAATTCCTCCATGTTCTCGTTGAAGGTGATCTTTGAAATCATTAATTGCCTTGTTAACAACGTCAAGTTTATGAAATAAGGGTAGAAAGAGAATATGCTTGCGGTTTTCAACAGCTTGCTGACCTCGGGAGACATCCCTTTCTGTAAGACAAATATCCCCAAAAAAATTTCAGAAAGAAACCTTGTTGTTGAAACCTTTGTTGCTTCCTGTCACCTGAAATTATTTTCTTTAGTGTAGTAAACCTATTAGATTCTATTATCTAGAATTCTACAGTCTCAGCAAAAAGTACACTTGCAACGGCGACTTTTCGCGTTTGCATATTAAAATTGCTTATAATGTGAATCTGTTAGGTTGTGAAAAATATAACTCCTGAGGAGTTTATTTGTGGTAGTACTAAGACTCTTTTGTAATCTTTGAGCCTAATTAACATTTGCCTTCTTTTCTTCTTTGCGTTTGACGGATCGAAGATAGATCTGCTTTGGACGTTACTCATTATATTTGGAAGGTTATGGTAAAGTATATTTTAATATCTCTAATATGGAAGACCAGATGCAAAGTGTCCTAATTCTGGGTTCAGTGACTCGGATTGAGATAGTTTTACGGCTCTGTAAACAAAAGACTTGATAATGATATGATAATGCGTTAAATTATCGGAGGTTTTCTATAAACAGAACGACCCAATGTTAAACTATCCAGTGAGTTACAAAATACCTGGCACCTGTAATTAGCCATTCCATTGTCACGTGAATCTACCCCACCCATATATCTATTTTATTGGACAATTACATAAGGTTGGGGTATATTTAAATTTTTCCGTTCTTTTCTATTATGGCGTTTTACATTTTGGATAGGATCTACACTAGAAAGATTACTTACCACAGTTACAATTGAATTGTCGTGCCAGCGGACAATAGAAATTTTTGATTCAGATTCAAATGCCGAAAGATAGGACCCGCGGTATTTTTTGCCAAATTCAAAAAAGTTTGAATGATGAACAAAAATTGTCAAAAAAAAATTGGTTAGTTTACTGGCTTATCTACAACAGAAAGTAGACTCGTGACAACGTCACCGCCAAGACCAAGGTCAGAATGAGGTTAATTTTGAGCACCACCATATGGAAGTGAATAAAATAGGTACCCATCAGATGAAAAAAGGCACCAAAGCTTGAAGCCAAAACGAACTGGCTTACCCCTTATAAATATTTTGCAGGAATGGCGGCCAAAGTAAGGTACCATTTGTTTGTTTATCTATGTATGTAATTTATGTAGCGCTTTTGTTAACTTTTGAAGTTATATATAAGATCGCCATGGCCATTTGAACTGCCAACGTTTCAAGCAGAGAGCGCAGTAAAAAGTAGAAGGAGTATTAACGCAATCATGCGATAATACAGAAAATCTGCAGGTATATCATCTTGCTCAGAGCTTGGTTGTTTTTGAGACGCTTTTACACTTGTCCAACTTCCGATTTAAGAATCTCAGGTTGTTCAGTAATCTTTCGTTATTGTTGTTTGACAGTTCATCGTCGCTGCATAGTTTCCTGTATAATATTTCCGCCCGGACCAGTGATCCTCCCACCGCTCGTGTATAATTTGTGTTCGAAGTCGAAACTCACTAGAGTTTATTGAATAATTTGCGCGATTGGCATTTTTCCCCTGTCTACAACAACGTTTTCCTCCTTGGTTGATGTTTTTTAGTTTCAGTTGCTTTTAAGTTTTTTTTTTATTTCAAGCAGGTTTTATCAGATAACCAAGATTTGGATTTTATGGAATTGCTTCCAGAAGTACCGTCTTTTCTTTCACTATTTCACTTATCCAGGCTCTGGTATCTTTCCGCAGTTCTTATGTACATATAGATGATGTGTAGTCACATGGCATGTGCAAATATCCCACTAATTATATTCAGTATACGTTTTCGCGGTAAACAAATACTTTAGATACGTCGGCATGCAGTTAATGAACGTAATCGTGATATTTTCATTAAGTACGCCTAATTGAATTGGAAATATTTTCGCCCGCCATGCGCCGTGAAAGAAGGTAACCGTAGGAATTTTATTATTTTAATCGCAAACCGCGATCGTAAGCGTTTTAATTGGTGCTAATTACGCTAATGAATATATACCGTTACGTATCTGATATAATAGTAGTTCCCTCGTAATGATGAAAGATAATAAATTGTGTTTGTCATGATAATGACGCGATATTTTGAAGTCCACGTGCGTCACTGAACTGGGCGTAGTCAACGCGCTATCCGTTTTTGGTCTATAATAAAGCATTGTTTTATAATGTAAGAGTTGGCTAATAAAACATCCTAATTTCATGCGATAGGTGGTCCAAAATACAGTTATCTCTAATGCTGCCTATATAGCTTGTTACAACATGTATAACAATAATAATATTAAAGAAAATAAAATAAGTGGCTTCATATCAAGTAGGCCAGTTCAAATAGTATCCCCAAATTGAGTCTGGAAGTAAATTAAATTCGATGATATCGCGCACTTGTGGTAAAAGTGACATATCTCACACTATCAGTGTATAGCAAAAAAAAAACCTTTATTTTTGAACAAAACCTTATTAAATTAACTTTATCGGCTCTCGGCTAGATGTCGCAAGTGTCACTTCTAAGGATCAAAACACAAAAGCGCCATATATAGACGCGTAAAGCTTTTCAAAAAGGGCGTTTTATTTTGAATCGTGCCGTTTTTTATTAACAACAGTGAAATGCAATTGTAGATTATTTAGAATTACAAAAGTTTTGATGAAATATTGTTCGCTCTTTATTTACAATATTTTTAATTGTGTCAGTTTGGAAGAAAAAGTAAGTACAAATAGTTGTTTTCATTATAAGTTATGTCACTTCAGATCGTTATATTCCACCTCAAATTATTTAATAACTGATTTTTTTCATTCATTCATTATATAACGAAAATGCTTTTGGCAATGACACATAAAAGGGTTTAAAATACCTATGTATTTTCGAACTCGTTAAATTAAAGAAAATTTATGGTCAACATTTTAGCTATGCAAGTTTCCGATCAAATGTCTGAGGCAGAAAACCCTATTTAAACATTTAACTTTAAAAAAAGTCGTAAAAAATGCCGCAATTCAAAATACTTCCTTTTAGCTAAAAATGTTTATTTTTAGACTGCAAATGAAAACTCCGAATAATTATTCTTGTTTATTGATATTGTTGCATATTTACTTTTTACGTTTTCTTGGAAATTTTTTTTTGCTTTAAAAGTGACAACCACAAACAAGCGATCATCGGAAAAAATATCTTCTTCTGAGTCTGAGTCATGCATATTTTCCGTTTTCCAAGTCTCACTTACCAGGCGGTGAGTGTAATGAATACCCATTCAGAAGTTTTATTCTTATTTTATTTTATAGAGATAATAGAGAGATGATTTTAATACAAAAATTATAAAAATAGAGGAACGAATCAAGCTATTCCAAATATCGAATTAAAGATACTGCCTCATATTCATCTATACCTAATTGTAGGTGGAATGGGGACAAAATCGCACCAATTTTATTTGCCTGAACTGAGTCGTGATTAAATAGCGAGTTTTCATGTGACGGAGTCTGTTAACTCTTGGACTGTTCCCTTTCTAGTTAATCATTATCATGGGATCGATGCTCTGACGTTTTGAGAAGATCTGCAGACACATTTTAAGCGTCTCTATTTTTCGTTGCTATTGCTTTTAGATTATTATTATACAGATAAAATAATAATGTAGAACTGAACAGGTTGTGGAAAATGAAATACATGGTACACTAATAAAATTGATAATGGAAAATTGATTAAGAGTGTTTTTTGACGATTAAAGAACAAACTAGAACTTCTAGAAGTCACAAGCAACTGATGCTGGTAAACCATTAAGAAGATTATTATAACATTACAAATTATCATTACATCATCATCCAAAAGTTGCTTCCATGAATTTGGACCATAATTTTACTATATTTTTATCATACAGTGACCATTACCAACCTTTTTATTTTATTTTTCTTATTGTCTTCTTTTAGTGAAAGCGTTTCATGCATCCCCAGGGAAAGAGGGGAGACAAAGAAGAATAAATAATATGGACGTGCATATTTGAAAGCCCGAAAGCCTATAAAAATTATCAAATCTCTGGTTGAAAAGTAACTGGCACCAACGTCATTCGATGACTATGTATATTTCGGTAAGTTAACGAAAGAGCGCTTCAAGAAGTATAAGAAATCCGAAGTGATTGTACATAAAACGTTTTGTTCGCAAGGCGGCCAATTAAATAAATTATTCTTTCGTTTTTATGGCATATTAATTTTCAATCACTCATTTGCTTCGAAGTGCTAATCAAAGTAAATTAAGAGTTCTGTCGTCGATTAAGAACTTGCGACGCAGTATACTGCAGCGATTTGCAATTTCGAAAACAGAAGCGAAGATGCGGTTAAATCTTCTGGCCACCGTTTCGGCTAATTTTAAGTTTCAACGTGTAAATCAGTTTGACAACGTCAGGCGGTATTCTGCTGTTGGTAAGTACCTACCTATTTAGGGTTTGTTTTGTTTCCTTGATATTATAGGCTAAATGATAAGAGATGCACAGAGATCCAAGTGTTATATTTTTTCGAAACAAATCTTTATTTAACAAAATATACAGGGTATTTTAACGCAATAATTAATAAGCCGATTTTTGGGTCCATTTTAAAAAGAAAACTTTATATGAACATAAGCCATAAACGTCTTAAATTTTGATATACAGGGTAGTAGATTTCAAAAATAAAATATATTTTTTTTAATACCTGTATTATCACCTTAGATATTTTAATGAAATTTATCACATTTGTACTATCTTTCAAGAGGCTACACCAGTGGCGGTCGTACAGAATTTCACATGTCTATCTGATAGACAGTGATGGTGCGTCACTGATTTCTCGTAAAATAAAAATTCTTGCTAGATTCTCCAATAATTCTCGCTTAAAAAATTAAAAAAAATCTTCTTTGCGTGGTCATAACAACATCGTTAATATGACAGCACGCAGATGATTATAATCATTACTATTGCTTACTAAACTCTGTGGTGTATTTTTGAAATCTTTGTAATTATTTCATATCATTGCAGTAGGCTGTTTCTGTAAGAACTATTAATTCTGTTGTGTGACAATTTTTTCACAATAGTTTTTAAATACGAGCACGGTATTTTTTTTTTGTGAAGGACACTAATGGTAACTAAAAACTACATATTTTGTTTCAGATAGATATTTTATTTTTCACAAAAAGAAGTTCTCGATATAACCAGTGCGGTGTTGACCTAATTAACCAAAATATAATTTGTTCATAGACGGGCAGTGGCACGCCACTGATTTCCTTAAAAAAAAATAATGGCATTTGCATACATTTATGAGCAGATTTGATATCCTAATTTTTTTGTCCGCCGCACGGTTTTCACTTAAAAATAATAAATAATTTCTCTGCAGGATGTCATGTGACCATTCAGAAAATGAAAGAGTGCTTTGACTGCAACATATATAATCAATGTCCCTCTTATCCAGTAAATAAGATTAAATACAGAACCGACGTTCATAATTTGAAGTTAAGACTTCAGGGTTACATCTTGAATCACCTCATTTTATGAAAGACCGTTTTCTTATAACCATTACAAACTATACAACGGTCTCTCTAGACAACTTAAATGTTTGAATGCCGATTCTTTAAAAAGAAATACAAACGGTACTTTCTGAATGATGGGTAGTGCGGTGGATTATGTTTTAATCGTTAATACGCATTTAAATCCTTACGTTCTTTTTACGTTATTTTTACGTACGGACATAACTGCACGACTGTTCTTACTGGAGTATACGAATAACTTCTTCCGCAAGGTTCAGATGTTCAAGTGTCAGATTTGATGAATCGTTTTTTTATTGTAGTGAACAGTGCGGCACCCTTTGTGAAGAGGACCGGGTCCAATCACGATGTTGCACTCGTAAGTTTAGTTTCCCGAAGTTCAAAGGTGCTTAAAAGGAGCTCGCTACAAGAGCTCGCTGAAACTCTAGCCGACCTCCAAAACGACAAAACAGTGGGAGCAATTATACTGACAGGTACCGAAGATGGTTTTTGTGCAGGAACGAACTTCGACGTAAACACTTCCGCTGAATCTATTGACTTGCTGGAAGATCGCCTAAGAAGTATATCTAAACCAGTCATTGCTGCAGTGAATGGTTATGCCGTAGGTAGGTCCACATAATGCCTGGAAATTTGGTTGATCTTGGATCAATTTCCAGTTTAATTTCGGATTCGAACTTGCCATGATGTGCGATTTTATCTACGCCGAGGAAGGGGCTAAATTCGCCTTGAAATACATTTCGATGGGTACCATTCCTCGCTCCGGTGGATCTCAAAGGTTGCCCCGAACGATTGGAAAGTCCAAAGCTATGGAGTTGATCCTTACAGGTATATGAGAAGTGCTTGTTCATAGACAAATAGTGCCAAGGAGAACGTGTTGAAAATTTATAATAAATTGCCCATCGAACTGAAAGAGTCAAACAAAATTCAAATGCCCTCTTAAAAGCAATTACAATATTAAGGATTGAAGACTCTCTCAGAACAGTGTTCATCAACTGCAGAACAGTATTAGTATTAAAATAACAACAATACAAAATGTACGAATAAAAATTTAAATGCTCCTAAAATCAATAAAAGTCAAGTTAGTTAATAATTATTATATTTGTATATTTATATAGTCTATTAGTTATTTACTTATTTATTAATTTTAAAATTTCGAAATTGTCGACACTTAAAAAATGTGTCCATGTACTGGGGGTAAAAAAAAGGTCATGGCCGTTTATCTTGTACTGGACCATACTAAAAAATAACTATTAAGACAATTTTAAAATGCAACTTTTACGTGAGAAGCGGGAAAATTAATTTTCATTCCTTTCCAGGTTGTGAAATATCTACAACTGAAGCGCAACGTATCGGCATAGTGCGCAAAGTGTTTTCTGGATCCAAGCAGTTGTTGGAAGAGTCTGTCAAAACGGGGGCCAAACTGGCGACGTACTCCCAACTAATCTCGCAAATTTCGAAGGAATGCGTAAACACCGCGCTCGAATCTACTTTAAGGGAAGGAATCCGATTCGAGAAGCTAATGGCCAACGCAACTTTCGCCACCGACGACTGGAAGGAAGGAGCTGCCGCTTTTATGCAAAAGAGGCCGCCAATTTTTAAACATCAGTGAACAAGGGCGGTTCACTCCAACACGGTGTTTAAAAAAGGCGATTCTGCATTCAACCAGTTTGAAAACCAGTATCACTTATTAATTAAAAATTTAAACAATGGAAGTTTAGATAAAAATAATATTATTATTATTAATAATATTAATAATAATATTAATACCACATAATAATAATAATCACCAGTATTATTCGGAATATATCATTAAAGATGAAGATAAAAATAGCTTTATTTCCACAATACTTGAGTTACAAGTGTTGAATATTGTCAGTATAATGCAAATATGAATAATATAAAAAAATTCGAATTAATGAATAATAATAAGTAATAATGTTAAATAAATAAAATATAGACAATAACACACTACGAATACATATTAAATGGTATCACAAGAAATAAAATCCTGAATATTGTAATAGGCGTGGTGTTTTAAGACGATTTCGATAGGCATTTTTAAGGTCAAAACAGAAGGACTATTTGTTAAGATGCGGTGTTAAATTTTTCTGAATATCCGAGTTTCATGAGAGCATATCTTTGAGTTGCCTTTTACAGTGGCACAATTTGGTGTTAGATTGTGCTTTCATCTCAGTTTTACTTTCAATTAGGATCAATTTATTGCTAAGTTGTTCAGACAATGCTGGCGAACGGGTAGAAACTGCATCATCCCCAAAAAGGAAAAAGTAAGTATGGGGAAAAAAGAAAACATCATTTATAAACACTATAAACAATAAAGGACCGAGCAAACTTCCCTGAGGTACATTGCAATTTACTGACCTGGAATCAGTATTCAAATCCTGAGGTCTCTCGCACTTTGACCAACTGCGTCCGACCCTCAAGAAAACAGTTTAACCTTATTATTATTATCGTGTCCTTAGTATCTCAAAGTTTCGCAATTTAATTATGATAAATAAAAAAAAAGATTAATATTCGCAACAGGGTTCGTCGCCCATAGAGTAATGTTTATTATCTCATTGGCTTCAAAAGTTGTGACCAAAAAAAACATACATTTTTTTAAAATTTGTTTTGAATCCGTTTCGAAATTGAATTCAAAACAATTTTTTTTTCAAAATTGTGTCATGCTTTTATGAGTACACTTGAAAATAATTTTGAAGTTGTTGTTTACCATTTTCTCGCAATTTTTGAAACCAATGAGATAATGAATTTTACTCCGTCGTTGGCTCGCCCTGTACAACACAAAACATCCTAATGATCAAAAATAAATATTTTTAACTCTTTTTTTTTAAGTTAAATTGTTTTAAAAATCCACTGGTAATGTGTTGCACTGGTAATGTCTTGCACATAACACTGTTGATTGGATTTTAATTTTTTGTAAATAAGATTGAGGAGGTGAAGGTATCTCAAAGATTTAAGCTTTAGACGCTATCTTGTTAGAAAATCTGAAGCCGATAAAGTCAGGCCATAAACTGAATCAGGCCGGGTATAAATAATTACTCAAGTTTAAACATTCTTGAAAGTTTTGTTTCATGTCTGACGCTATAGACGATGTTTTTTCAACATAAAAAAAAACTTTAGGGCCCCAATAGAGCAAAAGAATAACATTGTGGTACAGGGTGAAGCTACAAAGCAACAGAAAAGACGGAGATCTAGTCCTGGTTGGCTAGGACGGCAAAAAATTCGCAAAGAATCTGACGTAATAAGTAGTTTTTCTGAAAGAGAAACCAAAATGCTAGCTGAGGAACTTCCAACCAGTGAGATATTAGAGATAGCCCTACAAGCAATCACTCAACATTATTCTGTAAGTATAGACAAAAATACAGACATTGGTAACAATATTGGAGACGGCAAAACACTGGTCTATAGAATTGGAAACATAGAAAAGTCAATATAAAGATATATTGTCTAAATAAACTCCAGGTCAAACCAGAACCGACGACATTGATGAATCAAAATGCAAGCTTTGGAACATTTCCAAATCAACTTAAACGTGCCCAATCTTTAGAGATATTTATCATAACGACATGCAAAATCATCGCTCAGGAAGTCTGCGCCTATCAACTAAGACAATATATACTATATGTTTTGTTTTTTGATTTGTCAAAAGCGTATGATTCTGTAGGCCGTGACATACTTTTGTGGCATGTGTATGGCTTTAAGGTGGGTGGAATCGTACCTTTGAAAAAGAATGGAGGAAGCGCCAACAGGATTTCTTTTGTATATTAACAAAAATACAGAATTCTATGCATTTGGTCGAAAATATAAAAGGACTTACTACTCCGATGATACCAATGATCTAATTGTAAATAAAGTGACTGAAAACCTCAAAAAAGAGTCAAGAGGTTCATGATGGGAACAGATAATTGGTTTACTAAGAATAAATTGGATATTAGGACTGCTGTAACAACGTAACAACAAATCGATCAAGAATATCACTCTTGCAAAAGTTAAATTTAAACGACTGTGATATTGTTTTCAGCCAATGTTTTTGGATAGTACCTTATCGTGGGAAAACATATAACTAATGTAGTAGATATATTTAAATAAAGTAATATATTGTCTTAGAGTATTAGGTAGGCATGTTCCATGGGAAAATAAAACGAAGCTTTATTGCAGAGAAATAGAATGAATTTCTATTTTCCACAAGAGCGCCGTGCGAACTATACTGCAGCTAAATTTCCGAGAATCATGCAGCGGAAAACATAAAACTGAAACCTTTTTGAAAACAGCGAGTCTCAGGAAGTTCATAGTGCAAGTACATATCGCAGGCACTTCGAGTGAGAACAGTGCATGGTATCAGTGTATTAGGTTTAATAATAGTTTGCCGAACAATACAAAAACAATTAGAGATTTTAAAAATGTTAAAGAGAATTATTTTTAATTTACTCGTGGAAATAGAACCATATAGTGTAGAAGAATACTATTTTTAGTCAACACTTATAGGATCGCCAAGATGATTTGTTATTATTATGCAATGGAATGGAATGGAACTTATGCAAAGAGAGGAAATGCAAAAACGACAATAGTAAAACACACATGCGTTTATTACAATTATGACGTATTTGAACACTGGACGTTTGTACAACGGATTACTGACAGTATATTTGCGTGATTACTGGATCGGTTACAATTAATTGCTGGCTAATTTACCCATTCTTCATTTATTTGACCCTAGCTGAAGACTAGCCGCTGTAACCCGCCCCGTACGCTCCCGCGTTTCCGCCATAACCGTGACCGTGGGCTATCGGAACGGCCACATTTCGGACATGAGTGGACACCACTGGGACCTGGGACACGCTCTGAAATATTCGGTGGACTCGTTGGGGCCACGCTCAGCAATAATCGATACTCACGTGTTGTACGATGGTGCCGGGGTGGATTATGTCGAATCTAGATTGCGAACTGACAGCCGTAGGGTAAGCTACCGAAGGTCCAGCTGGTACAGTTACGGCACCAACGATAGCTGTAGATATTAAAGAAATTTTTTTTTATACCTACCGTCTTTCAGAATTTATGACAACGCGATTTCGGTATTAAACAATGGCAAAATATAACATTTCAAAACTGATAAATAAATAATCATGCTATTTATTGTCGACAAATCAATATGGCCGACGTTAAGCCAATCATCCTGTCGATGTCTTCAGAACTTAACTCACTTCATTCGTTTCATTCCTCTACTTTTTACCTGGTTATAACGGGTGATTCAATAAGAGTTTCTACATTACAATCTGAAATATTTTTGTTTATTATCATATGAGATTTCTAACCTCAAAACATAAACCAAATTAGTCATGGAGAATATACCACTGAACAACGTGTAAAAATTGTGCAATTATGAAAATGATCGAACAAAATCGACCTTCTGAGAGGACAATTTGGAATGTGGTTCAAAAATTTGAGCAACACATCCAAACACATTGATTCGTCATCGATCGCAACAAGTGGGCCTTACGTATTCAACCACGCAGCGAATTTTAACAAAAGACTTGCATCTACACCCATATAAAGTCCAAATAACTCAGGAGTTGAAACCTCGAGGTCATCAACAGGTCCGCGTGTTTGCAGAATGGATACGAGAACAAGGGGTTCATTTTCAACGAAAATCATCTTTAGCGATGAGGCACATTTTCACGTTGGTGGCTTTGTAAACAAACACAATGCTCGTATTTGGGGATAAGAAAATTCAAGAGAGATTGTTCAAAAAGCAATGCATCCTCATAAAGTGGCTATTTGGTGCGGAGTAATAATTGGCCCTTTTTTTTTCGAGGATAATGCGGAGAACGCAGTTACGGTTAATGGTGTTCGCTATCGAAACACGATTTTCTCTGGGAGCAGTTGGAAGGTATGGACATTGAAGATTTGTGATTACAATAGGATGGAGCTACTTGTCATACCTGGTCGGATTATCTCACGTTACGGAGATATCAATTGGCCGCCGCGATCATGTGACCCTACTCCCCTAGATTTTTTGGGGGGTATCTAAAAAGCAGAGTGTATAGAAATAAACCAAACAATATTCCAGAGCTGAAACAGGAGAATAGACGCGAAATGGCCGGCATAGAACCTGAATTGTTTCAAAAAGTGCCACATGCGTCGCGGAGGTCATTTGAATGACATCATCTTTCATACCTATACACTAATCTAAATTGGCAAATAAAAATGTTTGTATACTTTTATATTCTTCAGAGTTTTTTTTTATTATTTTAATATTAAATATCCTGTGGAACAAAGGTAACATTTTTGAATTGTTTAATTAAAGGAATTAAATACTATCAGTTTCCCCTGTAAAAGATTTTAATATAGAAGAACAGACGGAATCCAGATATTTTGTATATCGTACTTGCAATACTTGTAACGCCCTAAAACCATTACCCATTGACCCAAGATCTCTTTACATGACGATCCTACCATACGAAATGGGCAAGACTCGAAGGAAAGTAGCCAGTCAGCAAAGGATGTTTGAATAATTAGCTGTACTGTACTGATTGGCAAAATCATAAAATGCAAAAGTTTCCTCAAAAAAAAGTTCAGAGGAGCAATTAGAAGAGCCACGATGCTACTAACGTTCCAAATTCAATCTTGCGTCGATACTGTTTTACTAGAAACCAAAAAAAAATGGATATAACGGAGGCATAATGAAAGTGTTGACCAAGAGTAATCAGATTCTGTCACTTGAATCACTGCAATAGAAATTAAAAGAAAATGGTCAACTCAACAACAAGTAAATTAATGTTTTAAAATGATATTAAGGGATGCGACTTTGACATAAGTTGATTTATCATTCAGATCATTAAGAAATTTTATTTCGAATGCCTCCTCCACGCAAACATTTTGGCCAATTTCTGTCATAAAATATTTTTTGTGTTGTGAGTATTTGGTGACACATGCTCAAAGGTCTCCTTTCGTCAGATATCAGGCGATTTCATTTGCGATTTCAGGTTTCTTTCGACTAGTAGATTTTTGTAATAATAATTAAAAAAAAAAACAATTTAAGTGATATTTTTAATGGTTATTATTATCGCTGCAACCAACATGAAATAGTGTTTTGCAAACAAATTAAAAAATATTAGTTGAAAAAATAATAAGTTATTAATATTTTTTGAACAAAAAATATTTTTTTATCATAGTAGGTCACAATTTATTTAATTTTTTTTATATAACGGTGCTTAACTCTATTGATTTTTTTGATTTTTTTTCTCACCCTGTATTCTGTTTGACATAATTGATTGATTGATAAATATTTTATGTTCACCTTATATGATCATGGAATACGCACCAACTTTTAGCAACATTAAGCAGTTGTGCAGTTAGCCAAAATCCAAACTAAAAACAAAATATATCCTCCACAAAAAAATAATAAAGTAACATCGTCTCCACATGAGAATTTCAAGCAGTTAATCTTCAGTATAAAGCTAAAAATATCATAATTGAAAAAGTAAAAAGACAGAATTGACAAGATATCCGCTGGCATAAAATAAGAAATCCAACTTTGAGGCAAAAAGAATTAAATATTTCATATTAACAATCTTTATGAGATACCGAAAACGCACAAAGCTATATCTCAGAATAAATTTCCTTCTGCCTCTGCTTAATTGTTAAACCGATACCCCGAGGTAAGCCTGTTTGGAAACTCATCCAGAGCGCCTTTTAAACAAAATTTTAAAAAATACGGTTAATGGAAATTATGTAAGTTATAGTTTTGTACTTTTGTTAAATGTTATAATTATTGTTCTACAATTTTAATTTTCGTTTTTGCCCACTTCATCAGTATTACCTTTTTTTTGACTGACAAAAGCAAAACATGAGGATTTCGTTAAGAAGGCACCGAAATAAAATATGGCACTAAGGGTAAGCTCTAGAGTACAAGACAGCTAATTCATAATCCAAGTGAGTTGTGAGTGTGATGGTAATAATCAAGCTGTTTGATTTAAGTTAGTTAGTTCTCGCTGCGGTATCGTAATACATCCTTTTATAAATTCGTGGAGAATCCTTGCGCACCACTGTTCGATAATTAACTCCTAGTTTCAAATTCTTGTTTAAATTTGAATAGTTAAATTTTTACCTCCTCCATAGCCCCCAGAGCCAGCAGATCCGATACCAATTCCTCCTCTTGCACCCGAGCTTCCCGATGATCCACCAGCCCCGCTACCATAGCCTCCATATCCTCCAACGCCGGCACCAAGCCCAGCTCCCAGTCCCGCTCCCGCTCCAGCTCCAAGGCCTCCAGCCAGACCAGGTCCTACTCCGGCAATAGCTCCGTAACCGGCTCCATATCCCGCTCCAGCTCCGGCTCCAAGACCAGCTCCATATCCCGCTCCATATGCCGCTCCAGCTCCTGCTCCAATTCCGGCTCCTATACCAGCTCCAAGACCAGCGCCATATCCAGCACCGGCTCCACTACCGCCATAAGAGCCCGAGCTGCCCCCAGAAATTGCTCCATACGCATAGCTAGTTCCCCCAGATGCTCCTCCGCTACCGCCGGAACTGCCGCCGCCTCCACCTCCCGATAAACCTCCAAGACCAATTGCGGATCCTGTTTATAAAGTATGCACTAAAATGGGGTTGTTATAAATCTCAATCTACGAAATATAGCTTACTCTGAAATTACTCTAAAATCACTGTTTTCATTGCTTAAAGATATCATATGAGTGATGTGAATCTATAGTTATCAGTTATAATTAAAGAGTAAGAAAATTAACGAAAGAATTGATAAATTGCAGGAGAAATGTGACTGCAGTGATAAATGCAGATTTCTCCTCCCAGAACAACACAAACCCTCATCACATCAAAAATTGTACACTAAACATTGTGGTAGAATAAGGCCCAAAATTTAATAACCTTAAAAATTGATGAACTGTTGATGAACTGGTTCCGAGCAGTTCGCTAGCATGAGTGACAAGCTTCTTTAGAGGTGTTTCTATCTCCTTTACTGGAAATGAAGGAGTTGAAGAACTATATTGATTTATATGAGAAGTATATATAGCACATTACAGTGAATGAATTAATCAAGAAAAGGGGTAATATGAAGTAATGACAGTAATGGCAGTAATGGCAGTAAACTGCGGGTTTGTTTATCTGATCGCTGCTGTAAGAGTGAGAAATAATGAACCTAAAGACTGTCTAATCCAAGTTACTTTTAAAAAGAAAACAATAAGAATCGTGAGAAGAATAGAATTGTTAACGAAGAAAGAGAATAGCAAAGTCATTTTAACTAATATTCTGAATAAATATTTTTCTGAGGTGATTAAAGTCTTTGTGGAAATAGTCTGCATATGGAGCTAACGAATGAACTAGAGGTAAGAGGTGTCACTTCTAATTTGACAAAAAAATCTGCACCAAGTCGTGAATGCAACTCCGAATCCAAAGCGATGAATGTGCCTTTTGTGCTTAGAAAACTTGTTTCTGTATTGGTCTTGTAAAATTACTACATGTTATAAATTCAAAAAAGGAAAATTGGACGATATATATTTATTAATTTGAATAAAAACTAAATTATTATTCATTTTAGCAGAAGCGAATTTTGATATTGTTTTCAAATTATATCTGCAAAGTACCAAAAAAATAACTTACTGTTTCACGGAGAATTTGTTTGTATATATTTTTTTAATCTATCCCGCGGTGAAGATAAAATTCTCTAGTAACGACTAAGACTGAGATTGTTCAAAGTTTTTTGTTTATTTTTATGAAAAACCAAAAAAAAGTACAAAGAAGATTGGCGTCTATATAATGAAAAATTCCACCCGATAACAATTGTACTAAAATTTCATTAATTTCCCGGCATCCAGTGGCGGGTTTTAAGATAATTAACTTTTCTCTAAGAATATATTGAACTTTTCAACTTTATAGGGTTCAAGAGCTATAGTTCAAGAGACACCAAATGGAATTAAAATATATATATAGAGGCATCTGACACATAATTCATTGCAAGCGCCTTTTATGTATTAAAATAAAAAAGAATAATAAAAAAATAATTAAAAATGCAAACCTATATAGCCGCCCGATGATATGGCTAGGACACTGGACAACACTACCAACTTCAACATTTTAGTGGCTTATTTCTCGTGGTAGGTTATCCTTCGAGGGAATACAAAAAACTGATGGATTTGTCTTGGGTTTTTCGCTTTTTATACCGGCGAATGTTCTAAATAATGCGTAATTTAAGAGTGATATGTGTAAAGGAATACGTATTGTGAGAAACATATTTTTTCTTAACAGTTAGTGAAATAATACTTGGCAGGAATGCGACTCACTTTCATTGGTAAACCGCTCTATAGGGTAACTTGTGTTGAAACACGCCGGAATGATTAATTTCGTTTCTAGGTATAGGGTGGTCCGTTTACCATTGGATGACCCATCGAAGAGCTATAAAATATATCAAAAAAACCATGTTGTTTTTGATTCACTTATAATTTTAAATTATTATATTGCGATATGTTCGTCAGCGTCCCCAAGTGGCGAATTTCTTATTTTAAATAGCATATATGTTACCGGCAAAGTATAAAATCAAGGCATTTTGTATAAAACCTTCATAAAATAACTAATGATTCCAGGCAATGTATGCAATCTTTTTTGATTTAATTTGAATAACTAGGAATTTTAGAGAATGCCCAAGTAATATTTTTGGGGCGCGTATGGAACGTGCATCACTAACACTTTGGAGGGTTGATGTAAATTGTTCAATAGGAAATTTTATCAGCTTCAAATATGGTCACACTCCCTTGACTCTGAGAATGTCTCGGTTTTCCGTGCACAATGGCCAGTGAACGCCAATACTGCTTTAAATTATAAATAATTTGGTTGGCGAATGGTAAAAATATCTAACAAAACATAAGAAACCTCTTCCGCCCGTTTCGATTTAAGACCTCTTAACACAAAGAATTTAGTTAAGTTGGTCCTGGTAAACCAATATGACTTTATAGTCACCATCTGGATGTGACTGAAAGTCGATCAAGTCTACTTGACAACGAGAATTAACTTCAGAAGAAATAATAGGTTTCACAGCAATACCTTTTCTAACACCTTTTTGTTTTGGTTCTATATCAGAACGGGTTACGTTTTAATATCGGCATGACAGTTCTTTAATCATACGATCTCTTCCCCCATGACCAATAGTGATATGAGCTTCATGTAAAACATCGAATAGTTCACTACCAGAGACGTAGTAAATTATGTTGCTCCCAGATTCTTTAACAAGAAATATAAGCTTGACATTTTGATCAATTGTGAAAATATCATAACGTTTCAGCAACCAATAATCCTGGGGAACCTTTTTCGTTGTTGATTTCGCGCTATTAACATCATTAATTAACACTTTGTGGTGATCATCTTCAATATAAACACAGTTCTTTGCATTTGAACGCCTTTTAGTTTTTAATTCTGGGTAAAATTTATTTTTCATTACCGAAAGACGTGAATCGGACATATAATGACCCAAAGGGAACGTGTGCACGAAGAAAAGTTTGATGCTTTAGTTAAGCTGAGTCACTGTAAATATTATCAGATGTATTTTAAAAACATTTTAATTTAAACAAATCGTAATTATTCTCTATCGAGAAAAACCTGTAACAAAAATCGAAAATTAAACGCGTAATAATTGTAGGATTGAGGATCGATTCAATCACTGACCGATCTCGAAAAGGACCGAATCATTTCAGTCAATCGATTCATTCAGATTCAGATTCATTTGAATTTGAATTATTGTTGTGTGTTCTGTTTGCTGTTTTAGGTAATTTAATATTTAACTGTGTTCTGGTTGTACCAGTAATGCATTAATTTGTTTAAATTAAATACCTGTGTGCAAATAGATATTTCATTCAATATTCAATTCAACACATAAGCAAATCTACCAATCGATGTCGCAACACAATACTATAGAATAATTATAACAATACGCCCATTCCTTTTCCGTGACCTGTCTCAGTCATGCATTTAAATCTTAAACCATTCAAAAGAATCGTATTGCGGCGAATTCGATTTGTTTTGGTATGATCGGTCGATCGGTCGTCCCGTATTCGGTCACTTTAGACCGATCAGGACGGCAGCGAGAGCGAACAAGGTGATCGAATCGTTACGAACAAGCGGGATTCGGTTAATTCGATTATTTGTGATGTTCCTGTTTTCCCGTTCCCTTCATACCTACGAAAGTACCGTTCCTGAAAATCCGGGAGCTAAGTTCACCGGTAGGACAGACGAGATTGACCAACTTTTCTAGGGTGCTGTCATCTGTCGACTTTGACGCCGAAAGGCAATAAACAACAAGAAAAAGTACCGTCATTTAAATAGACATGTTCCTTCAATTAATTTCGTATTCGCTGTTGATTTGTTCGGTTCGTGGCGTATCGAAGCACCCGGCCGTTATAGTGGTCTCATATGACGGTTTTCGTTATGATTACGTGGATACCGAAGACTTGCCCTACCTAAAACTATTCCGACAACAAGGCGTTTACGCGGAGCGGTTGCAGAACGTGTTCCCCACAAAGACGTTTCCTAACCACCATTCAATCGCGACGGGCTTGTATCCCGAATCTCACGGGGTTATAGGCAACAGTTATTTTGATAGCGCGAAAAACAAAGTCGAGAAAATTGGCTACGACATGTTCCATTATAACGAGGAAGTCGTGCCCATATGGAGGTGGAACGAAGATGCGGAGGACGGACGGCACTCCGGGTCCATGATGTGGCCGGGCGGCGACTATTCGTACCAGGGAAAGAATATTACCTACACCAAATCTTTCCAAGTTGGCTACGACTGGCACAAAAGAGTTGACACTGTAATTTTTTATGTCTCAGGCATCTACCTATTGAATAATATCATATAGCTATTACATAATATAGCGGCCGTACTGGGTGAAAATTGATGCGCTGCAGGTGGCTCTTATATTATATATTTCACACGCTAACCTGCATTTTGCTTCTTTTTTCAGCGATCCTCACACACTTAAATTAAGAAAATTTATGAAATTATTGCCCTAAATGTCTCAGGTTCCATGTTATTGACGATCTGTCAGTTGCCTTGCGGGTTGTTGAATGTCACAAGGGTATTGGTTAAAAAGAGATTTTTAAATCTTTTTCGTAGTTGTGTGTACTATCAGCATAGGCCACTATATCTCTAGTAGCTATATGGTCGTCGGTCATGATGAAGTAACTCATTTGTCGTAGACTGTGGAATGGATTTTAAACCCGGAAAAACCTGCCAATCTGGTTATGCTTTATTTTGAGGAACCCGACAACCACGATCACGCTTTCGGACCCAGTTCGGCGACTATTAAGAAGATGCTCAAAAAGTTGGACAATATTACTGGTTATTTGCAGGTACGGGACCGCTGTAAGTGACGATTTTCGGGGGCGAGCCTTTGATTTTTAGCAAAAGCTACACGACAACGATCTGTTGGACAAGGTAAACGTGGTACATTTAAGTGATCATGGCATGACTGGCGTAACTCCGCCCCATTTCGTTAACATAACCCAGTACATGAAGAACGGCACCTACGAGTGGGCGGGCGCCAGCCCTGCCATACAAATCACCCCGCACACGGGTTTCGAGGACTCGATTTACGAAGCGCTCGAAGCGGGTTCGAAAAAAAATGGACATTTTAAAGTGTACCGAAAATCTGAGTACCTCGACAGGTGGCACTACAAAAACAACAGCAGGTCGCCCCCCATTTTGGTAATGGCCGACCCCGGGTACGCGCTAGACGATTTGATCGTAAACGCTCCTCTCTACGCGAGGCATTACAATTTTACCCGTAAGCGGCTGGGTTTTTTGAGGTTTTGTAATTCGAACCTCCCACTTTTTAGTAACAAACTCCTCGGAATTCGGCGTGCACGGCTACGATTACACCGTAGACGACATGAGGCCCTTTTTTATGGCCAAAGGACCGTCGATCCCGGCCCAGAAAAAAATTGAAACTATCAAAGTGGTGGATTTGTTTAACTTGTTTTGCAGGCTACTAGGTTTACCACCGACAGCGAATAACGGCACCACGGCCGCCATATTAACCGCGTCCGGCGGCAAATACAAAGCCGGCACCATACTCATGATTTCCGGTAAGTCGCGTTCGCGCCCCTGCCGAGAGAAAGGCCCTTAACCTTACTTTTTCCGTTGCAGTGGGTGGGGTGCTTATAGTCCTAGTTTTAGTAACCCTAGCGATAGTTTTTACGCTCGTCGCGATCAGGCGGCAGCAAAATATCACGACGGCGGCCGCCTTAAACAAACGGTTCCCCCAATCTTTCCAGAACTACGTCGAGGCGCAGCACTTGCTCGAGCCTGAAGACGCCTAGTTTCTCTTTACCGTTATTGTCGAACCGTTTTCGGTGTCGCTTGGCTCGATAATTTGAACGCTTTTTTGATTTATTCGATCGACGCCGTCGAAGCGCTCAAATAATGATCGTCTTTCAATGATCCGAACCTACGTCCACAATTACGCCCAAATAACGTCACTTAATCATTCGTTGTTAGACAATAATATTAAGATACTTGTTGAAATGATCTCTACTTCGTAACTTAAGTACGTGCCGCTGTTTGGGTCGCAATTTTGCCAGCGTTCGCTAAAAATTGATCGTGTTGAGGTTATGTGACGGTTTTTCTTCTTTCGGACGATGCTGGCCGGCTGTCATGACCCAAGCGCGCGTCTTAGGTTAGTCCACCGTTTTCTAATCTCACATTGGTTCCTGTATCGTAGAATTGCGTAGATTATAGATCTAGATTTTCAACGACAGAATCTAGTCCATTGTACGTTTTAATTTCATTAGGTCGTTATTTCGTTTTGTTCTTGTTGCACTAGTCACGTGGCTTTGAGCCTTCAATGCTTTGTGTTTTGCCCGTGTTGAATCGATTGGTTATAGAGATTTGCCAAACCGCCACGTGAACTTGGGTGATATTAGGCTTAGACGTTGTTACTGGTTGAGTAAATAAACGCATTGATAAGGATCCTGCCTTTGTTTTATTCACAAAATTAAGTTAATTTCGTTGGAAACCGTTTACCAAAACTCCCACTCAACAGCAAACGTTATCGGTTTTCTGTCACGCCAAGGATTTAACGTTCCTTCGCGATTTTCAGGGAATTAAATGTGGCGCCGTTCGTTTTACGTTTTATTTAGACAATTACAGGATAAGTCATATATCACATTGATCCGAAAAACAGATACTTTGATAATACAGCGTTTTTTTGATTTCAATTGACATACAGTACAATAAGCTCGTCGGGGTTTAGGGCGGGGGTGGGTTTTTCTGTTGTCGTCGAGATGCGGAGAAGGGGGAGTCTTCGCGGCTAGTTTTTTTTTGCGATATAGACTGATGTATATCAAAAATGCAAGTATAGAAATCGTTTTTGTATATACGCGTATATATATGTGCAGATTTTGTACAGTCACATAATTTATAATAGTATTCGAAAGGTGGGCGTGGTTTTGTACGTATAAGCACGCGGCGGCGGACGCCACTGATTGAACCGCTGACCCTGTTTCGCGGCCACGGGATGCAGTAAAGGGGGGCGGGTTATCGGTTTTGGTCGAAAAATCGATATGGCCGTATTCCAATTGATATTAACCTCAAAGATTGTCGATCGTTCGAGAAGATTACAATATATGCAAAAATTAGGCGCGATGAAACGAAGCGGTACAACATCACAATAGACTATATGTCAAAGGTACAATTGTATTTACAGACGCGAGTGCGCGGCGCTCGGAGGCGCCTCGTCGGTAGAAAAAATAGAGGTTATACATATACATTTGTCTCGAAGAAGTGGGCGGGATCGCGCGGGCCAGAGCCTATCCGCGTCACACCCGAAGCGAACGATATATCCGGTAAAACATTGAGGTTAGAAAACTAAGCAGGGTGCGCGATCGAGATAATAGGATTTGTCATTTGTTTTGTCGTATTCTCCCCGGATTTGACGGTCGGGTTCTGGTCTACGGGTGCGGGGTGGGGCGAGGACGGGATGGTGTACAAAACATTCAGTACGCGAAATCTACTTGACGGCGAACCGTTGTCTCTGCTTTTTGACGAACTCTACCGCTAGGCGATCGGTCAGTCTCGACTCGAGGATCTGCAAGATCGGGTGACCTGCAAACCGAACGAGTGACAGTCGCGGAAGGTGCGCGCGCGCGCCTTAACCTCACTTTTGTTGTGCTGCTGCATCAGGACCAGCTCGACGGGTTTCAGGCCGTGGAAGTTGTCCACGGAGGCGTTGTCGGCCACCCCCGATATCGTCCCTAGTGCGAGGAAGGCTTCCCCAGCGAAGTCGTTGGCGGTGAGCACGTCGTGGTCCATCACCGTGAAAGCTATCATGGCGCCTGGCGACCTGCGAGGCGGCGAGCCACAATTTTATCGTATATTAAGGAGGGTGTCTCTATAGAGGGTCTCCCTCCACGCCTATTATTATTTGTTTGCTTGCTTCCGGATAGCAAATACAATTTTGGAACTTAGCGACTCTCACATAGAAAATACGAAAAAAAGTTTTTTGGATTCTTCTGAATATTTAAAATATTGTTTTTCTGATACAGGGTGTCCCAAAAGAGTCCCCTCCGACATCAACTTTGTTATTTTAAATGGAACACCCTATATAATTCTGCACTACTCAATCGGTTTCACAGATGCGCCTCATCGTCTACAGGGTGTCCCAAATAGGCGGTGCCGTTTTGGCGAATTCAATTAACAAAATCTCAATTTTACTTTTACTTTTTGAGATATTCGAGGTTTAAGATAACACCCGTATAAATTCTTGTTGAATTTAAATTTGAATTTAGGTCACTTGTTTGGCAATATTAGGTATTTTTTAAATGGAAAAGACACGATACAACGATATAATACTCTAGATATACGAATAAAACCTATTGCTAAAAATACAGGGTGCCCATTAATACGTGGAAATTACACTTCAACAGTCTGGCATTTTTTGTTTTAGTGATTTATCTATTCAAATTTGTTACCTTGTTTAGTTAACCTATAAACTTTAATTATTTATTTTTGTTATTAGGTATTTTCAATCAAGCTGGATATATAACTATGAAATGTTTCTTTAAATGTGAATTCTGAAGTTTTATTAAATCGGTTAAGTGTGTAGTATAGAATCGATTTTTTTTTCAAAATTTCCAAGCATTAATGTATTGCTAGAAATAGGTTTTATTCGTGTATCTGGAGTATTATATCTTTAAAAGAAATAGTGTCATGTCCTTGCTATTTATTTGGAACACGGTGTACCTGCATTGCTCCAGCGATACGCTGAACTCAAAACACTCGTCGAATATCGGGTGGAGCGTCTTCTTGTGGACGTTGGTCTGCTGCTCGTTGCAGTGGGGGAACACCTTCTTCGGCAACAGCTCTATGATCACGAACGGATCGCTGAATCCGTTCGGGTCCAGCGGTATGATGTCCCTCGCGTGCAGCACCTAAAATTGGCGATCGTCACCTCTGTCGCGCGCAGGCCTCGGCGGGTTTACCTCCACACACAGCGAGTCGTGGTTAAAGTAAGCCCTAACGGCTAGACTACCGTAGGGACCCGACGTGGTGTTGTACTGGTCCATCAGTCTCTGGCCATAGAAGATCTCGATCAGCTTCTCGGTGTCCGTCCGATGGTACTGCAGCCGCTGCTCTATTTGACAGAAGGTCGCCGAGTGTAGGGCCTCGGTACCGAGTCCTTGACCTTCCGCGTGGAAAAAGTCCACCATGAGTTCTAGGGCGGAGTGTAAACGCTCGTGGAACATGGCCGGCAGGTCGTCGCTGGTGGCCCCACCGTCCATTTGATGATTCAGCTCGACGAGCGTATACTCCCATATCTCCGCGAGAACCTTTTGAAAGTTCTGAGGAAGTAGCGCCATATTTAATAGCTGCAGGTGATTGTGGAGGTAATCGAAGAGCGGATCTACCGCTTGCTGAGTGGGCAGCGTGTCCGGCGACCAAGCGACGTGGAACATGGCCTTGCGCAAGGCCTCTTGCATCTGAGGCCCAACCCGTTTGAGGATGTCCGCTATACGCACTTGAAACTGGCTTAGAGTGCTGTCCAGCTGATTGGTGAGCGTCGCGAAGTGCATCTCCGACGTGAGTGATTCCAAGGTGACGAAATCGAAGTAATTTTCTGGGAAAGAAAGACATTAATCGCGCCGAGAGATCGATGGGAAACTTACCTAATAGAGAGACGAACTTGTAAACGTATTCCAGGTTGTTGGAGGCGATACACATCTCGTCGCATACGCGGAAGGGTCCCAGGCGATCGAAGTACCCTGTTTCCATGAGCCCTTGGTAGGTGATGTCGGCGTACAGCAGCGCCGCCGAGCATATGCAGTCGAGAAGTTGCGAAAGGAGACATACCGAGTGCGCCTTGGGCCACTGCAGCAACCTCCAAAAGTCCCTGAGCTGGCAGAACATCGCCACCACGTCGACGGCCGAAGAGCTGTGCTTCACCAGCTTGTCGCCTTCACACGGCTTTTCGATTTCCGTAGCTGTTCGCACCTGGGGCACATACAAACACCGTCAAGAACGGGCGATTGTGGGTTCGAATGACACCTACTCTCTGCAGGCTCTTGCCCTTGCAAACGGAGAGCCAGCAGCTGACCGAGGGCTCGAACCACTCGTGACAACGAACGAGGAGGAGCTTGTGGTCACCTCCGGAGGGTAGGTTCTGGTGGAAGGTGGCCAGGTCTTTGACTTCCATGTATACTGAGAAGATCAGACGGCTGTAGGCCGCGTCAGGGTGTTCATTTTGATTGAGGAAATTGATGACTTCGTCCGCCATCAGCTTATCGATTTGTTTAAACACGACGCTGAAGTAGGGTATACCGTTTGTGCTGGAAAGGGGATGAAAAGTTCAAACAAAACGCGGAGGAGAAAGAGAGAGAGAAAGGAAAATTTTAAACGGTTCACGGTCGAATCGAGATTCGGCGAGCTGGAAACCTGTTAATTCGCTAATTAACACACCCCATTTACCCTTTCACACTAAACCCTCTTTGTTTATCCGTACGTAATGGAAAGGCACGAGCGGCGAGAGGTTAAACAAGCGCCGCAACAAAGAGAAACGCACCCTTCGAACACGGGGTGGTAATGGTGCAAGCCGTGTTTCATCTGGACATAAACCTCAGAGCAGAAATCCACAAATGAAGTGTCGTACTCGTCTGATGACGGCATTATCGACGCCTTGAGCGCGGCCAACCATTCTGGGGTGCCTTTGCGCAGAGTAGCCACAATTTCACCTCTGATCTCCTTGTTGAAAGGACAGCATTTCCAGAAGGCTTTCTGCAAGCCGGGCGAATAATTTTTCTCAGACGAAGAAGTTGTATTACTGACTCACCATGTTGGCTACGTAGGCGAGGCACCGTAGCAGGTACTCCAGTCGGCTCAAAGAGGGAGGATGCAACGCCGGAAACAGCTGACGATGGTGCCGTAACTGTTGCAACCATCGTTCTACAGAGGGAGAATTGAAAAATTTAAAAAAAAAAATGGTGTAATGGCCGGACCGCGAAATCATCTTATGTCTTAGCAGATGGAACGTTTCTATTGTGATAAGCCTAGATATAAAGCCGTCGTGCTTGATCTGCATTTCCATTTGCTCTTCCGTAGCTAAAATGCATTTCTCCTGTTCAGTATTTAAATAATCCTGATGGGCCATTATAATAGCAGGGAGGGGAATTTGAAAAATAAAAAAAAAATGGCTGAGTGGGCGGGCCGCCAAATCATCCGTTCATTTGCGTCGCCGTAAGTTTGCATTGGCTCTCACGATATTGGAAATTTATAGCTTTTCAGCAAAATGGCGGAAGGGCTGCAATATTGCTTAAATTTGATCTACGAGAAAAATATTTATAAGCGATTTCGCGCAAATTGGAATTTAATACGGTTAAGATCCTTTCTTTGTCTTTTATTGCATAATTTATTAAAGTTACGAGTTCCCGAACTCCGACCTCTCTGGCCGTGTTGCCAACGAGACGCAGTACCCGGTTTAAATCGCAACAAATTTTGTTTAAAAAAAAAAACGTAACAATAAACGATAAAATTCGTTTGTTAATTACCCTGCATGGCGGTAAACTTCTCGGCCAGCCACATTTCCTCCTCGCGCGTGAGCGTGAAATTGTTCCACGCATTTTCGACGTCCGTTAGGAGCTGCAGCATCCATTTCGGATCTAGTGGCGTCTTTAGGTAGACCTTCGAAGCGGCGACGAATCGAGCTATGGCGGTCTGGAGTTCCGTGAGGTCGCCCTGGACCGCGTGTTGGTGTAAAATCGTAAGCGCTGGTCCGGGAAGGTCGCCGCCCCACGTCCACGTCTCCCTACTCCAGGTGCGCAGCTCGTAGTCGATGAACGTAGCGAACAGACTCTCGTGTTGTGTCAGTTCCGTCCAATTATCCTCTTCGGAAGCACCCCGGTTCTCTCTCGTCGACAGCCACATTTTGAGGCGGATTCGTCCCTGGACCGAACTCCTTTGTGACCGCGCTTCTAGCTTGAACCAACCCTCGAGACCCGTCGACGGGATATCCTGAAGCGGGATCGTGACGCAACCGAGAAAGTCGTCCTGGGAACTTTGACGGGCCGACTGACACACCTGCTTGAAGAACCGACCGAGGCCCCGCACGCCTCTGATCTCGTTCAGTTTGCTGACCGCCTCGAGAACGGAACTCTCGTCGTCGTGGTCCCATATGTCCAAGTGCAGGGAGTCGCTGTTGATGTCGTCTATGTCGCTGAAAATGCGAGACGGGATTTCGATACGAGAACCTCCTTCCCCGTAGTGTTCTCGGCGGGATCCCCGTGGGGACTTAATGTGTAGCCGCTGCCATAATACGGGTCTCGATGTGATGGGATCGGGATTTCGAGTCGCGCATATTAAACAGGAACTCCGGGCCTCTTCCGCAAAATCGAGTTTCGACCGTCCCCCGAGACCTTTTTTACCTGCGCGTGGGTTTCGGGTCTCGCCACTTATATAGGTTAGTAGGAGAAACTCATTTAACGGAATTGCGAGGAACCATTCGAAATGTCGTGTTCGGAAACTTGGAGGAAAGATTCAACGTGGACTTTTACTAAATTAATGAATTTAAGTGGTAGCACGCAAACGGAACACATCAGAACGAAATGACAAAAAGATCAAGCTTTAAACGGTGGCACGCTTTTTGCGTTCTAGTAAGAGGTGAATAAACTCCACAATTTGCGAGATGGTAAGGTATGCGAAACATTGAGTTATCACAGCTTCTGTAATATGCGTTAAATTGTATGCTGTGTAAAAGAACTGGACAATAATACCGCCCATTCACAATCGTGAAGCGAAAAACTAAATCAATCCGAAATCTTCTGGTATGAAGAGTATGAATATTGAAGGCCTTAGTCATAATACTGTAGTTGATCTGATACCCATTATAGATATCGATGTGCTCTTTTGAAGCCAAAGATCTTAAATACTTTCTGAAAGACTTCGATGTTACCTATGTGGCGGGCATAATATGGTGTATACTCCAGTCTAGAACGAACCAAAGAGTAACTGGAGCAAGTTGGCCACTATTGCATACAACAAACCCAAGGACTGGCATCTATTTACCAGTTCCGCAAAATGTGTCACAAAACTAGTTTAGAATAGAAGCAAACACCCAAATCTTTAATGCTAGTGACGGCTTCGATCTCGACTCCATCAATGCTATACCGGTTGTGAACCATACTCAACGAACGACTAAAGCTAATACTGCAGCATTTTTTTTTTAGATTGATCGCAAGACCAACTCTCTTGTATCACTTCAAATCATCCGCAAATAAAAGACATTGCGACTGCGAAACTGCACTAAGAAAATCATTTATAAACAAGTTAAAAAGGATGGGTCCAGTGTGAGAACCTTGGGGGACTCCCGAAAAAATATCAAGTTTACCTAAAACATAATTACCGGAACAGATCGGTACTGTTTCCACAGCGCTCTTTATCGTACTTCCTAGTACGTACTTACTAAATTATGAAACCATGTAAAAAGTAACTCTAATCTTTATATTCTCTCAAGAAACTCAGATATTCAATACAGTTTAAGACCGAATCTTCACATAAAAATACCTACACATTTTGTTTTGACGAAAAATAGCTAGTCAAACAAAATTCAAGTGCACTCTTAAAGACATAGGGCTCGCCTATAGCAATATTAAAGATTTTGTTTCTTTGTGATGCTTTTTAATACTTGTCATTTATTTATCTATTATTATTATTATTATTATTATTATTATTATTATTTATTATTATGGTATTTACATATCCATTTGGAAGAACTTAAAAATTTGCGTTTTTCAGTTATTAGGATAGAACTGTTTCAAAACCATAGTGTTTTTTTTTTGAAAAAGCGATACAAATTAAGTTGAAGTGTGGGATCCGTTTGGTACAAGAACGTCACATTTTCAGTTGCGAATCGATTGCAGAGGAGATGACATAAATTTTTGATTATAAAGTGGCGTATTTTGGTGTTATAGATAAAATTGAGCACTTTTTTAAAGTCATACTGTCACTTTTTTATTTAATATTTTAGTCGTTCTTAAAGAACGTATCATGTTAAGACTGGAAAAAAAGCAGGACAAAAATAATTTAAAAAGCAATGAAGAAGTTAAATATGTCCGGCATTAAGCCGAAGAGGTAACAGGAGAGTTATTGAGATTGGCACGTGCACACTTCACTATTTAAAAGGTTTCCGAACACCCTCTATGTATTTTTCCATAACGAAAAACGACACTTACAATCGGAACTTTTCGTTCCATTTGGGATTGAGCGTGTGCGGTTTCACTGACGTCGCCCTAATGAACTTGGCGGGGAGGGCGCTGCCCAGGCTGTCCCTGTGTTCGCGCACTCGCCCGTCTTTCCGCTTGAAACTCAGCTTGAAGCTGTGGTGTTTGCGGAGCTTTTCCGAGCTCCCGTGGTTGCCGTCCCCGATCCCCATGGGGGAACAGGCGTCGGACAGGGTGCGATTCGACGTTAGGGGTTGCGGCGACGACGGCGCCGCCATCGGTTGAATGCCCAGCATGCAGTAGGGGTCACTGAAACCTGACGCGAGCATCTTTAAAAATTTTAAATTCATGAGACGCGACGTACCGTTAGCGTCTTTCGCCTCCAAGCCTTCGGCCTCGACGACGACGACGCTGAGGACAACTATGGGAGGCTGCTCCTCCCCTGCGGCGTGGAGCATCCTGTAGTGCCTGTCCGGAGGCATGTGGAATGCCTTCTGGCCGTACATCAGTAGATCTTCCTTGTAGTGGGCGTACTGTCCGCCAGGGGCTGGAGCGCCGACCTGGAGCAAACGTCGGAGCGGCTTTATCAATCACGAATCGCCCGGAAGGAAATCCAGACGCTCCGACGAAGTTTTTTTGTGCCAATTTTAAGTCCGTCACCGTCGGAAATCTCGCCGCTTAAGTCGCAAACTTTTTCGATCAAAAGTCTGCCGGATCGTTTTTTTTTCCGCCGACGCTATTAATTCTTTAACGTTTCGCCCCAGGCTCAGATACTTACGGTGTTCGCGATCGTATACAGCATTTCGACGTAGAGTTTGTCCTTTTCGTTCTGGGACGACGTATAATCGAAGGGGTTGATGCCGAGATCTACCTCGGGAGGGGGCGGTTCGGACGCGATTGACTCTGCCGCCTTAAGTACGCTCTGCCTCTGATTTTCCTGTTTCCAGGCGAGCGCCGTGAAACTCTCGAAATACGAGCCGTCTATGTCTTGGACGCTGGAAAATAATCTTCCGTTATGATTTTCGAACTTTTTTTTCTAATCGATCCGTCGAAAATCCGTACGATTCGCGACGTATTATGATCCCCATCAAAGGACAGATTTGTGCGATCGTATCAACGTTGACATATTTTTTTATCGGGAAACGGTGCCGAAGGAAATGACGATATAAGAAGTTCTCCGCAATGAAATATTTCGCACGAGAAGACGATGACAACATAAACGACGATTTAAACTTCTCATTCGAAAATTGAAAAATGATGACGTCATAAATGGTGCAACAACTAGGAAAAAATAACAATTTTAAAGTTTGTGGTTATTTTTTCAAATCGATTCATCCAAAATCTGTACGATCGACCCTGTATTATGATCCCCAACAGAAGATAAAGATAACTGAGAGGTTGTTTTAGGATTCGGACCGTCGTATCGATGTTAATGCGTTGTTAAGCGAGAAAAGATGTCAAAGAGAATGACGATATCAGGAACGAATATTTTTAAAGGCGTTTTTGTAATTTCATATGAAAACAGATAATTAGGAATTGAACTAAGGTGGCTTTTACTTGATGAAAATCCATTTATCAAAATAAATAAGAACTGTCTTTATCAAATGATTTGATAGGCACGGTGTTGTCGAAACAATTGTCATGTAAAAATATATAATCTCGTGAAAATCTGAACTTTTAGTTCTTATTGTTAACATCTAATTCGTTGTTCATAAAGAAACGATGCCAAAGAAAATGGTGATTTAAGAATTTCTCCAGCTTCAATGCAATGATTTATTTCTTACGAAAAAACATAGAACACAGAAGACGTTTTTGTAATATCAAAAAAGTAACTTTAAACCTCTCACCCGAAAATTGAAAAATGATGACGTCATAAATGGCGTATAAACCAGGAAAAACAATTTTAAAATTTGCTGTAATTTTGTGAAATCGATTCATCTAAAATCAGTACGATCGGCGACGTATTATGATCTCTATCATAATTGAGAGGTTGTTTTAGGATTCCGACGATCGTATCGATGTTAATGCATTGTTCGGCGGGACAATACGTCTGAGAAAATGACGATATCAGAATTTCTCTAGCTTAAATTCAGTGGTCTATGTTTTGATATCGTTTATTACGTATGACGTCACAAACGAGGATTTTTAAAGGAGAATGTTTTACGATTTGGATGATCGTATCGATGACGATTTATGATTTTTTCTAGTTTAAATGCGATCTATGACTTAACCTCAATATACTTCGTTCGAGAAGACGATGATAAGATAAACGACGATTTTAAAAGAGCAATGACGTCATAAATGTTGCAAAACCCAGGAAAAAGTAGGCAATGTTAGAATGCATCTGACTTTTAATAAAATTTTTTGAATCGATTCGTCCAAAATCTATATGATTGAGGGGTTGTTTCAGGATTCATATGATCGTATCGATATTAATACGTTGTTCATCAGCAAACGATGCCGAAGAAAATGGTAATTGAAGAATTATTTCGCCTTGTCCTTAGAATTTATAACGTATCGTCATTACACTTTGTAGCAAAAGATACAATATAAATGACAATTTTAAAATACCATATAATATTAAAATGCAAAAATTATATAATTTCATGGCGAAATCGAGCAACGAAATATTTTAGAACCGCAAAAACCGGGGAAAAATTGCCAATTCTCGAATCCGCGTCAGTCCTATTTGAGCCGGAAAATCTTCCGGATCCGACGTCCTTACGTATCTAATTGGGCGATTTCCGGACGACCTTCGACCCCCCTAGCAGCAAAATCACGCGGGCGACCGCGTTTTCGCCGGATTCCGGGAAAAAAACGGCGCTGACGTGACCGCCCGCGGGCGAAATTGATCGAGTTCGGCGCCTTCTCGGAAGGGGCCCCCGCAAACTCCCGATCGGAGATGCGGGTCACGAATTGGCGGGAGAGAACGGGAGACGCGACGTGACGCGAAAGTCGAGCCGCGGATTCTTTTACTTATTAATACCGCTCGAGAAACGCCCCCCCTTCCGCGTACCATCGGTGTACGCACAAAGACGTTAGGAAAATTCCGCGCAAAATGCAACCACCCCCCATAGAACAGTGTCGGTCCTGGCAGTGGAGTCTTAGAGTTTGCCCACTCTGCGAATACGAAATTATTAGCTTGGAAACTTCGTCCCGCTTCAAACTCGGTGCAATCAACCTCTAGCGCTTCCAAGTTCGCGCGCTATAACCCCCCTAATTAGCGCTCTCCATATTTCCTTCGTTTCGTTTATATAAAACTGGCGGGTGGCGGAGACCGGCGGGGGCGCGAACTGATTAAAACGGATTAATCAGCGCGCCAGTTTCGAAACCGAACTTATAACGAATGCTTGTTACGGTAATTCGATCCGTTCGGTGGCCCGCGCGCGAGCGCGCCCGTTCGGCGGTCGGGACGGAGGGGAACTTAACTCGAAATTAACAAGGTAACCAAGTGGCGGCACGTTACGGAAGTGAAGGGGGGGGAACATTAACCGTCGGCAGTTTTTATTTAGCGGAACCATGAAAAACGCTTTCCCTGAAAAATTTCCGGGAAGCCGCGCCGGATATTTTCCGGATATGAGGAAAGTTTTAACTCTGCTCGATTCCTTTAAAATTAAAATCCGATCCACTTCCCTTCCTTATTATAAGATTTCGTCTTAAAATCATCTTTCGTCGGTTTTAACCATACTCCACGAATACCTTAATCTTAGACCCCAATTCGATAGCGCCAGCAGCAGACTTTGATTTACCCGCTCGTCGAACTTACCCCGATCTGACCTGGTGGTCGATCTCCGGCCAACTCGACCTCCTGCAGCAGAATGTCGACGGCCTCTCGGGCGCGGCCTTGGGCGACCTCTGCCTGAAGGAACCCGGCCTACGTACCGGAGGCGCCGGCACCAAGCTATCCAACGTACTCCTCCTCCTCTGCACTAGGGCGCTGGCCCCGGGCGCGGGTACCACCTTGGGGAACCCCGGGGTGTTGCTGTCCCCCGAGTTGCTTCTGGACGCAGGCGACATGCCGGTCCCGCTCTCTGACGTGTCCGTGCGGCTTAATGAAAATCTGGAATCAGTCAGTAATTTGTTCTTAGTAAGTAGCAGAACGGAATTACTTCACAGTTCTTCGCCTCCGGGGAGACCTTGATATATTACGAGACGATGGGCGTAGAAGTCATCAAACAAAGACTTAAGTATAATTAATAATAGTAATAACAATAATCTTTATTGTCTAACAGATTAAGAACTATAACTATAACTAGTAGTCTCACTCCAGCAAAGTAATGATGAAACATAATATTATAATAATAATATTATAATAATTATTATAATATTTCAAATTTATGAAAGTTCAGCTCGCTCAGCAACTCCGGGCAATCCACTAATGAATTGCCAAGATTATATAAAAAATGAAGGAAAGGTACCAAGAGTGAGGGACCTTAAACATTAGTAATTTGTAATTGTATGTTCTTAATTTCAGTGATGTACTTGCCAAATATTGGTTGAATTGTACTCTCGCTCGCACATAACTATAGTATAACAGTTTTACAAAATCTCTAGAATTTCTCACGATGAATCCCAGCATTTTGAGTCCACTTTGACAGGCTTCATCGATATGATTTCTGAAGCAGAGTTTTGGTTAGTTTTTTAATCTAATAAACGACCAGAAATAAGTCGGATCCTCTGTGACTGCATTTTCGGCCTTAAAGATGTGATTTCTATTGCGACATCAATCATTTTCAATCAATTTTGTTTTTTGAATAAATTTGATCTCCTGAAATTATATTTGCATCCTTGTAAATTGGTTTGAAGGCTTTTATCTTGACAGAAGGATTCTTTTGTGACTATACATTCGATATTGGACAAAACTAAATCAAGATAGAAGCTAAGGAAATTCATGAAAATATTAATTAATTCTACCTTACAATCACTTTCAGTATCTGTGCTAAATAGAGGAGCATTGAAGCCGTCCAAAATGACGACTTGACTATTGGTAAACAAACTCATGTTATTTTCAAATTGCTCAAAACGACTCACCAAATCTTAGATATGCTAAGAGGTATATTTAAATCTACAGGAACCGCCCTAAAACCAGTCTCAGTATGAGTAATACGCTTAATTTTAATGGGTTTAACGCAGCCTGAATTTTGTTTGATTAAGTGAATATAATCTAATTTATTCAATGTAATAGAAGAATTCGAGGACAACGCCAACGCATAAGCAATAATAAATAAAACGTTCATTATTTGAACAAATATCTAGTGAATTTTATCGCCCGCAGTGAACTTTCACGCGGCTACGCTATAACCTCACTTATGGCCCCGCAAATAGTCGTTTCGCTGAGGCGGTATATAAGTGGAAACGGACCCGTCATAAACCGGACATTTTCCGATAAACCGCTGTGTGTTTTATCGTAAAAATGTCGCCCCTACTACTTTAGGCCGGTGGTAAATCGGCAATTTTTAATTTGTAGGTTATAAACCGGTTTATAACCTACGAGCGGAATTTATTAGTTTCGGGGACCTATCATTTTTAGAACGGCCTTTACTCTATGACGGTTAAGGGGATTACGATCCGTTACAGTAGTAGCATCAGCGCGGGGGTTTGACATTTTTTATTTTTAATGTATTTTTTTATTAAGGGGGACGCCAGGGAACTTCTAAAAAACTCTGTATAAATCAATTTGCTACGATATAACCTACAAATTGAATGTATTCATGATACTTTTTGTTTGGTTATTTTGGTTTTTCTTCTTTTTTTTCGGTTAGGGCGGGGATTATTTAGTGTGTAACCGATTAATTTTCATCGCGGCTAAAGCTGTTTTTGATGTTTTGTTTTTGTTAAATTGTTAATGTTAGATTTATTTCATTTTGTCCTGTTAACGTTGTTATTATTATTATTTATTATGTCGAAATCGATCCGCGAGCTAAGGCAAAAGAAAACACCGCGGGAAGGGTTAAAAGGAAAAAATAATATTTTCATTTATTCCGGACCGACCGTATACCGGAATTGTTTTCCGGGAAAGGCGCCGCGCGAAATTGCCGATTCTCCCTTTTTTTCCCATTATTTTTTCCTTTCCCACGCGCTGTCCGATCTCCACCACGCCGACGTTAATTGGGCATCGGAGGGGGGCGCGCCGGGGCCGAAGGGAACCGAAAAATCGATCTTCCTTACGGCAATCCGGCGGGGCGATCGGAGTTTCGATAATTATTCGATTTTTTTTCCGGGGAGGTAAAAAGCTTGATATAATCTGTTGCGTAGCGACTACTATGAGTATTCGCGATGGGGGGAGCAAAGTGAACATTCTAATTCAAAGTTTTAAATAAAATGCAATGAGTAGGTTCTGAAATATAATATTAAGCACAGAGACCACAATATGCAAGAATGATGCAAAATTATTTAAATGTTTTTTTATATGTTTTAATTTCTGTAGTGGTAACAATTTGCTCAAATTATTAATACGTTTATCAACTTTCAAGAACCAAGCTCAGTGTAAAAATAATACCGAATATTAAAGTGCAATAAACCTTTTCGGAGATATCGACACCGACAACGAGAAATATTTAGATTTCTCTCGGCTTTAAAGCAGTACGAGATACAAAGTGTTTTTTCGAAAACGAGATTACATTGCATAAATTTTCCCTACCTTTTGGGGCTGAGCGACAGGCCGGCGACGCTGTTGCTGACGTACTCCGACAGCGAGTTGAAGAAGCTCATTTTTCCAGCACGCACCTGCAAAAAAAAGGAAATCCGATTATAAATGAGGTAACGCGACGGATCCAATTCTAAATTTTAATTTGCGAATTCGGATGTCACCCCCCCCCCCCCAACCGCCGCCATACCGCGAAGGAATTAAAACGTTTAAACGGTACGTAAAAATCGCGAAACGACGGCGTCCTCGAATCGATACCAGTGTAAATACCACGGGGTAGAATTACAAATAAAACTTAGGACCCCCCTCCCCCGCACCACCGTCTTCGACAGCTAGACATTCTTATTGCCGACTCCATCCAGTTGTCTACATATATTCAAACAGGCTCTATAATTATATTTGGTATATTTTAATTCAGACGGGGTGATCCTAATTTACAAACAAATGCCCAGTCAGCGTCAAATTCGGATATTTACACACGCCACGACTTTCGACAGTCGTACTGATCCATAACTAAATTACCATCCAGCCCAAAGTCCATATCGAAGCAGTTTCACTTCTTTCCTCTTTCATTTCTTCTGTCAAACAACATCCATTATCAATGTATCAGACCTACACAAACCTACAGAAAGAAGCTTTCTAATTGATCTTCTGTTTGCAGCTGAAGTACTTCCGTATGATTAAAAATGTCACCGGTCAAATATCAAAAGTAATGGAAAAACATAGCACCAATTGTCGTAACAGCTCCCAATTTCTGTCGAGACAGCAGGTGTTTATATAAGGTTGTTCGGAAAGTCATTTCGTTTTTTCCCGTCAGAGGACTTAATTACGTTTTTTCGAAACCAACTTCACACTTAAGCCGCATAACCATTATATGTCTTGAGAGCTGATATTGCAAGGCTTGTGTGTGAAAAAGTTCTATTAATTCTACGCAGTAGTTTTTGGTTGGTGCTCTTTTAAATATGGAGAGCAATAAGCAGCATTTTCGTCATATTTTACTTTTTTACTTCAGAAAAGGTAAAAATGCTGTCCAAGCGAGAAAAAAATAGACGGATGTGTATGGAGAAGGCGTGTTAACAGTACGCCAGTGCCAGAACTGGTTTGCAAAATTTCAATCCGGCAATTTTGATGTCGAAGATGCACCACGGTCTGGAAGGCCGGTCGAAGCTGACAAAGATGCGATAAAGGCATTAGTTGATGCAAATCGGCGAATAATCACACGATAGATCGGTGAGAGATTAAATTTGTCGAATTCGACTGTTTATGGCCATTTGAAAGGCATGGGCTTAACCTCGAAGCTCGATGTGTGGGTGCCCCATGTCCTTACGGAGCGAAATTTGTGTCGTCGCGTTGACGTGTGTGATTCGCTCCTCAAACGTCAAGAAAATGATCCATTTTTGAAGCGGATTATTACTGGGGACGAAAAATGGGTTGTATACAACAATGTTAAACGCAAGAGGTCATGGAGCAGAAAAGATGAACCGGCTCAAAGCGTGTCAAAAGCCAACATTCACCAAAAAAAGGTGATGCTTTCCGTTTGGTGGGATGTCAAAGGAATCGTTTTTTTTTGAGCTTTTGCCGGACAATACAACGATTAATTCAGAAGTCTATTGTCATCAACTGGACAAATTAAATGATTCACTTAAAGAGAAGAGGCCCGAATTAATCAACAGGAAGGGTGTAGTGTTCCACCAGGATAATGCGAGACCTCACACAAGTTTGGTCACTCGCCAAAAACTTTTACAGCTTGAATTGGACGTACTGCAACATCCACCATATTCTCCAGATCTGGCGCCTTCCGACTACTATTTGTTCCGGTCCCTGCAAAATTTTTTGGATGGCAAAACCTTTACCTCAAATGAAGATGTCAAAAACCACCCGAACCAGTTTTTTGCCAGCAAGGACCAAAACTTTTATGAGAGGGGAATTATGTTACTGCCAGAAAGATGGCAAAAGGTGTTGGACCAGAATGGCCAATATATAATTTAATAAAATATTTATTCATTATACGAAAACTGTCTTTCATGTTCCCCAAAAAAACGAAATGACTTTCCGAACAACCCAATGGCATACTTTGCAAAAAACACAAATTGGGATAAAACCGACTGTGACGTCAAAAATGGCAATGCAAATACCATCTCACAATACCTGCCCAATTAAACTTTTCGTTAGTAATTTCAGTGCGTTTCGCTCATTGACTCGTTCGCTCACACGCTTGAACGATACGCGATACGAACCACGGCATCTAAACGCGAGTGCTATCAAGTGCCATTGAAGAGTGCGCAAGGGCAGAAAACTGAGAATGGCTCTCCTTGTCTTTGTTAACTAACCAATTTCCAGCTGAGAATTAGTAAATTAATCATTCGAGGAGCAAACGCGCGCCGGGCGGATGTGGGTCACGCGAGTATAGGAAAGAGCAGTCCCTCTCGGCTGCAAGCACCCTCGACGCAAACCCTCGTGTGCACTAATTGATGCTTTCGAAAATATTTATCGAAACGTGTCTCTCTTTGACGCGCGTCACAGCGAAGCGCTTTTACATCTGCGTGGTAAAATATTGTTGATGTTTCTTCTAAAAGAGGTGGACGAGTTCTTCGGTTCTTAGCGCCCGCCTGGTGCCACACTGTCTTTCTTGTAGTCACGCCTATTATCGTTATTATAACTCTGCCTAACGTCGCGTGGTGGGAGGTCCTTCGCCGTAGTCACATCCTGGTGTTCGATTTCAGGGAGGTCGGGCAGGCAATTGTTGACACCTAATCGTAAACCAAGTGTTAAATGCGCTGTACAACGCTTCTATCACTTAGGGACTGTGGGTACAGGTAATTGAAGAGCCAAAAAACCCAGAGCGAACAGCGGTGTCGGTTTCCGATGGTCGGTAATTTTGCGGCCTTTGTGGACGCTAATGAAAATGTGACGCCGTCCGTCGCCGCGCTCTGACCTTTCCGCGTCTATCAAAGGCGATGTGTCGGGCGGGACAGGGGGGTGGGGGGCGTTCCCTCGGGACACGCAAATTTAATAAAACCGGCATGCATTCCACGGGATTGGTTTTGTGGGGATTTCCCAGGCTTTCGCACACGGAAAATTCGAAACGCTCGCCTGTGTCGAAAAATACAAATAAAACGCTCCCCCGCGGCACACACGACTTTTACGTCGACGGTGGGCGGGAGGGTGCAGGCGCGGATCCGATTTTTCCGCCCGTTAAATTAATTAATTTTTGGATGATGATTCTGAGCCACTAAAGGCAGAAGAGTTTGGATTGTCGTGGACTCTTGAATATGTTCGGATTGGTTTTCAAGATCGTTTAGGCAGTTCCGGCAGCCAATTCAAATTTTCAAATATCTAGTAATGGACCCATTACCCATTACAAGACAGTCAGTAAAATTGAAAGAAAATTTATGAAAACAAGACATTTTAAGGACCTTCTAAAAATGCGCAAGGAAAAATTCATTACAAAATTCGGTGTAAATACGAATTGAAGAATACATTTTGTCTGGCCTTAAAATTAAAAATCACGCTCTCAAAGTCTCTCGATATCTCGCGAATTTTTAAAATGAAATTGTAACAGTTTCTGGTAAAAAAGACGATTTTGTATCTGTACAGACTACAGGTATATGTTAAATATTGGTATTTACTATTGTAGTACCATTGTGCTGATTGCATATATAATGTTAAAAAAGCGAAATATATGTCGGCGCCCTTATCTTTAAGCTCCCATGTTTCGTTTACCGTGAATAGTTATAATTCTGCCATTAACATTGTCAGAGGCAATCAATCAGGACAATCCTACGAGATACCTTTTTGGTATAAGATAGTCTGGTTCTATAGAAGCTCCGATGGTTGATTTTTGATTAGCTTTTTTATGGTTGACATGGCGGATCCTTGCATCCCTTTTAATACTCAATTGGGTGATTAGATAATTCATTCGTTTCAAGCCATTGCGGCTCAATTTGTCCGAGAAGTCTGACTCTATGTCATGAACGTTATTAAGAAATATCACAAACTCAATGTGATGTTTACGTATAAAATATTTATGTGTTCGATATACATCCTTTGAGAGGATGAAGTCGACCCTTTCTTTAGTACACGGAAAACATTTTACCACAATAACACAATATAGGCTGGGGCACGTCGCCTCCCCTCTTTTCGGCACAGATTCCGCGTAGCAATACTACTCGAGCGAGCCACATATCGACACGGTTGCCACGGCAACGGTATGATATGCGAAACGCGGCCTTGTCATTATGCCTAAACGCAGGGTTAGAAGATGCGTGACGTCACCGACGGTGCCTGAGGGTCAATCTGCCAGTACGCACGAAACTTTCCGACTTGGCGGTGGGTAACTTTCCAGCGTTCAAAATTATCGGTTCCCCGATAAAAACAAACAGTTACGAAGTCGGTTGGGCCCCCCTTCTTTCCCGCCGACGCCCCCTTCTACGGCAATTTATTACACGAAAGTTTACCCGGTCCCCGTCATGACGCCCGCGAGTGTGATAAATGGTCGGGGTGTATTATTATTAACCCCTGCGCGGCACCTGAGACGTAACGCCGGGAGCGATTTTTAAGACAAATCGCGTGGCGCTCGCAGGTCGGTAACAATAATGGCCGAATTAAATTTAGATTGACAAACACGCCGCCCTGTAATCACCGCCCACGGAATTTGGCGGCACGTTCCGATTAGATTACACGCGGTAATCCGCCCCTTCTCTCCGCGTAAAATTGAGTTTTAGTTTTTAGATTTAAAAAAATTGACAAAAGGCAAGTTTTAATGGAATCTTATAGAATTCGAAAATGGCGACTGGAATATCTAGAGAAAATTAGGATTTACAGAAAACAACAAAGGCCAATTCTTTACTTGGATGAGGGTTGGACTCAACTGATAAGTGTAAAATAAACGCGCCATCAAAAAGATGTAAAAGAATAACTATTTTGCGTGCTTTCTCTAAAGATGGTTGGATTCCAAATGGACTTTCTCTGTCTGCGAAAAATGTTAAAGATTCTTCTCTGGATTACCATGGAGACACCACCGCTGATTTATTTGAAAGTTGGTTTAAAAACAAACTAGTTCGAAACATTCCTTTTAATA